GCAGAGAGAGCTTGTGGAATAAACAAAAGCGTTCTTATAAGCCGTTGACTAGTGCCTTGCATATTGCCATGTCGTACGGATGAAAACCAACCTGGCTGTGATGAGTATTTTTCCTACTCGGGAGCAACAGGAGTAGCAAAGCGGTTTACGGTGTGAAAAGTGACATCGACGTTACACCAAGTCTAGTGCTTATGATGAAGTCAAATTTCAGGAAGATTAATGGTATGTCCATTGAAAAGAATATGTACCTCGTCGCAGACCGACGATGGGCAGTATACACAAAGAAGAAATAAGTGAGCGTGCTATGTACAGCCAAGGGGTTTCATCATCACAGTCCCTTCACCACCACCAAACGACTCGTCAAACATCTTCATTCCCCAGCTCAGTAAACAGCCGGAGCGAGAGAGTTGACGTAGATCTCGAGGTTGGTGTATCCGCCCGCCCCAATCTTCATACCATCAGACTTGTCGTTGGCGTTCAGCCCGTTCGCAGTCTCGTACTCGTCAGGGATACCATCGCCATCAGTGTCCTTCTTGGCCGTGCCGGCCTCGATGGTGCCGACGCCGCCCATGGTGGCCTCGTCGGAGATGAGGGCGCCGGACTTGCCGTAGGAGGCGATCTGCTTGACGAGGGCGGCGTCGACGGCGTCGCGGGCGATGGAGGCGCCGACCTTGGCGGAGACGTGGGTGACGGCGTCGGCGGGGGAGAGCAGCTTGGCGGGGGCGGGGTAGGCGAAGGCGGTGGTCTGGATGGCCATGTTGGAGTAGCAGGTGGTGGACTCGCAGAGGGCGGCGCCGTTGAGGACGCCGTCCTTGTTGGAGTCGTAGAAGTTGTTCTTGACGTAGCCGCGGAAGTTGGCGTTGCCGCGGGTGAAGGCGGTGACGGAGGTGGAGGGGCCGGAGATGAAGTAGTTGTTGATGATGTTGGCGTAGCTGGGGTAGGTGTCAGTCTTGATGATTCGGTGAAGAGGCTGGAGAGGGGATTGGTTTCAAGGAGACTCACCTTGCACCGTCGCTGTCTCCGGCGATGTAGCCACCACCGCCGCCCCAGTTGTAAACGACGTCTATTCATCGAATTAGTATCAGAGCTTCCAGGACGTGTGATGAAAACACCAAGCAACTTACTGTTCTGGAAATCGTTGACGCCCTTGACCTTCGGGTTGCGAGTCTTGTTGTCGATATAAGCGTTCCTGAACAGTGAAATACCTCCGGTGTTGGTCTGCATCAGGCCGCCGCACGAGTGCGTCTCCAGGCCCTGCGCGATGATCGAGTCGGAGATGGTGATGTTGGACACGTCGCCGTTGATGGAGAAGGTCTCGTCGCGGCCCCACGAGACGGAGACATGATCAAAAATCATGGTGTTGCCGTCGGCGATGGTGATGGCGTCTTTGCCCGAGTCGCCGCCTTTGCCCATGCGGATGCGGATGTAGCGCACGATGGCGTTGTTGGCGTTGCTCCAGCTGAAGCCGTTGCCGTAGACGGTGATGCCGCCGCCGGGCGCCGTCTGGCCGGCGATGTAGATGTTCTTGGAGACGACGATGCGCGAGCTGATCTTGATGACGCCGCCGACGTCGAAGACGACGATGCGGTTGGCTTGGGAGACGGCATCGCGCAGGGAGCCGGTGCCGGAGTCGCTGTGGGTGCCGTGTTAGTCGGGGGACGGAAGGACTGATAGGTGAGGGTGGAGCCGACGCACTTTAGGTTCGTGACCTTGTAGACGGAGCCGGTGCGGCCGCCGACGGAGTAGCGGCCGAAGCCCTCGGCGCCGGGGAACGCGAGGACGTCGGCGCGGGCGGCGATTCTGGAGCCGGTCCAGCCGGTGACACCGCACCCGGCGCTGTGGGTTTGATCAGCACTCTGCGCGTCGGAAACGTTTGCGCAACATCAGACGATGTCGCATTTAGGGGTCTCTGTTGCTGCTTACGATGGGTCCTGGCACGGGAGAGCGGCGGCGAGGGTGGCCGCGGCGGCCAGGAGAGAGATGGAAGCCTTCATGGTTGTTGGGGAAGAATCGAAACAAAGAGTGTACCAGACAGCTTAAAACAGGAGGGATATACGAAGGATAGCGAATGAAACCAACGGGACTGCTGGGAAGGAGGTGTTTTCGGCAAGCAGGACGAAGCAAAGCGAGGAAAAGGCAGAACACGACCTGAAGAACCGTGGGTCCTCGGTTTGGTTTTGTAGGTCGTTGCCGCGTTGCAACGGCGATGGGCTATTTACTGTCCACCAAGGGAGGCATGTTGGATGGAGGCGCTCAGGGGCGCGGCAGGACGGGAAGGGTCATCTGGCCGTGACGAGACGGGACATTGGAGGGTGACAGGCGACGGCTGGATCTGGCATGACGGTCGTGGTTGCTTGTTCGGGGAAGCGAACGACCGGGATCTCAACGCAATACACAAGCCGTTCATGGGCTAACATACAAGTACAGCAGGCATTGCTTCTCCTGTCAGAACGTTTCTCAGGCCTCGTGGGACTGGAGCCAAAGTGCCCACAGGTTTCCAGATTCCGTGCAGTAGCGCCCAGCTCAGACAGGAGGAAATGCGCATGTCGGAACGATCCTAGGGCGATTGGTGGGAATGGCAATGGTTCGGAGGCACTTCAGCGGTCTTTCGGGGCCAGAGACAGGCAGGATGTGTGCCCGTTTTGGCAGCGCTGGTGTGGGGAATCCCTGCGGTTTTGTGCTGTTTGGGTGATATTGAAGGGGCAGCGACGGGGCCTGTCGGGGCCGGGGACACGGGGCCACGGAGGTTTTCAGATTGATGAGGGCGCCGGAAGGTGGTGTTTGGGTGACATGGGAGCTGGAAATACGAGCGAGAAGAGGGAGGGGAGGGGGAGAAAATCTCTTGGGATGCGGTTAAGGTTGATGGGCGAAGCATGGCGGATGAGTTTCTTCCCACCTGTCGGACGTCATTGTCGATATTGAGTATTGAAAGTCTATTGTGATGTGACACATGGCTATTCTCAGAGCGGATGAAAATATGCATGTTCTGGCAGCCTGTTCCGCGACACAAGTGGCAGGTAATTCGTGTTTACTCAGAGAGCGATATTCTACAGTCTTATTGATGTGGAATTCTTGTATCAATCATGTCATTTGATGATGTTTGTTAGCTTCGTTCTCCCCAACCTGACCTACGGATACATCTTTCTATCGTGACTGGCAGCGGTGTCAATCGTCCTTCCATGTAACTCGAGCAACATGGCCCCTGTATGCTCCGGTGTCTGTCCTTCTTGTAACTTCTTCAAAAGCGTCTATTGGTATGAGTGGTCAAGGTAGAGTCCCAACCGGCATCTCAACCGATGAGCCTCAGATCGGTCGTCAATCGCGCTTCACCTGCCATCCGATCTCATTTGAGACGCTGTGGCCAGTAGCAACAAACAGCCCCCGGTGTGGCTGAGACGGAGGATGTTGAGAGCATCTTTGTCATCAGTCTTTGGATGAGGAGTAGGAAGGGGCCCGGCAGTTGGAGCAACACAAGACGGACGACGGTGCCGAAGAGAGCTTGGAGCGCACGCGTCTTTGATGGGGCACGGCGGCGGCCGGTCCAGTCTGGATGGCACGGCGAAAAGAGGAGAGCGCCGACGAGCGCTAACGAATTCCCAAACGAGGGGCGATGTCGGAGCAGGGGGGCCGCTGGGAGCTGCAAAGCTTTTTTTCCCTTCCAGTCTGGCAGGTCACGAGGCGATTGAGTTTTGGAGACTCAGTCACGTGGCCGCCAGGCTAATGAGGCCTCTCAGTGTTTTCTTTTTGCTCGTTCTTGTTGCTGAGACAGAGTTCAGAGCCAAAAAAGAATGCGACCGGCAGCGAATGAGGTGTCTTCGGCAAGTCATTCCCAGGGTCTGGCCGGGGATTGCTACCCCTCTTCTTCAGACAGCGAGCAGTAGCAGAAACGTCTGGAAAAATCGGAGAATGGATGAAGGGACCGAGAAACAGCTTGGGTGGTGCAGAGTCGGTTCTCATTGAATTGAATGGAGTTGCCTTCAGTCGGGATGAAGCTGTTTGAGTCACCCGCAACTCGGTGCCTTGCTGTAGTACATGGCACGAAGTTGGGCTGCCTTGTCAAATGTGCACAACTGTCCAGTCTCGCCCATCATTCCTCAAAGTATCCGGGCTAATGAATGACCGCGGAACGTCGAAGGCTATGCGCGATTGAACACATGATGGATCGGGCCAAAGCCGGCGGTTCGGCTTTCGACTTCCGCGTGGTCCGCGGGCCACGATGCCCTCAACATACCTTAGGTTAGGTAGGCCACACATGGAATGAAGTCCCGATGGCAGAGACTCAACAACCGCCCATAGCTAGGAAAAGCATGGCGAGTTCCGGCTTGTTCTGACCGCTGAATCCAGCCAGGACATGTGCAGGGTGAAACAAAATAGCAAACGCGCCGTTTAATGCACATGGCTTAAACATGCCAAAGGCGGCGATCAGAGAGGCGCCCCGACAGCGACCAGACCGCGCACCTTGTCGACCCCTTCACCCCCTCCAATCACAGACCGTCCCGCGGTGGGACACCTGCTTAGTCACCAGCTGCAACAGGAGGAAGGCCCCACCGACCCCTCTTGCCCTCGATGCGAATACTCCGTGACTGGCAGAAGTGCCCGCCCGTGAAGGCAACCGCCGCCGCACCGGAGTTTAGCACCTTGCACCTTCTGTCTCAGTGTCATCTAGAACCTTAGTCACGCAATTCCCGCCCGCCGCCCCAACCTGCTTTGCTCTGCTCTGCTCTGCGTCTGCTACCGTCCCGTCAAGGTATTAACTTGCCGACACACACACCAAAACAACCAACCCTCTCGGCTCTTCCTCTCACCCAACCCAACCGCCCCAACTCCATCCCTCGGCGAAACCAACTCAACTCTGTAAACAACATAATTTTGCCGTCCGACAATCATCAATCGCTACACCGGCCATCCATCGTTAGCAAGGTACTTCCACACCTCAATGCGTCTCTTCCTCAAGTATTCCCGCTCCGTCTGCACTCTTCATTCCCGCATGACGTCGATAGCGCAAGGCTGACCAAGCACCTGGACTTACCAGCAGATCCCGTCATCCTCCGTCCTGTCCCGCGCCGCACCTCACTAGGCACCGACCGATAGCCGCATCCCCGAGACACCAGACACTACCACCACCACCACCACCCCTCCTTCGCTCGCGCCCGCTACACACGACGCAAACCAGACCTCCGAGTCCGCGTCGCCCATCTCAACAACACCTCCAACCGGGCGTCCCCGTACGCCTCTCGCAAAATTTTGCCTCGACCCCGGAACCCGCAGCAACCATGGTCGCCAGCCCCGAGACCATCGAGGCCATGACGCCTCCCGGCTACTCCTTCCCCGACCACCGTCTCCGCCTCAACCAGTCCGAACCCGACCGCGAGCCCCTCGTCCTCGTCGCCCCCGGCTCCTACTCCCCCATCACCTTCCTCCACCTGCGCATGGCCGTCATGGCCGCCGACTACGTCCGCTACAACACAAACTACGAGCTTGTCGGCTCGTACCTCTCCCCCGTCTCCGACGCCTACAAGAAGCGCGGCCTCGCCCCCGCCTGCCACCGCCGCCGCATGTGTGAAATCGCGGCCGAACAGACGTCCAAGTTCCTCATGGTCGACCCCTGGGAGGCCGAGCAGACGGCCTACGTGCCCACCGCCGTCGTCCTCGACCACTTTGAGCACGAGATCAACGTCAAGCGCGGCGGCTGCAACGGCAAGCGCGTGCGCATCGCCGTCCTTGCCGGAGCTGATCTGATCAACACCATGAGCCAGCCCGGCGTGTGGTCGCCCTCCGACCTGCGTCACATTCTCGGCGATTTTGGCGCATTCGTCCTCGAGCGTGCGGGCGTCAACATCGACGAGGCGCTGACGAATCTGAAGGAGTGGGAGGACCAGATCTACTACATTCCCCAAGTCGTCCCCAACGATGTGTCGAGTACTAAGATCCGTCTGTTGTTGAGGAGGAATATGAGCATTGACTACGTACGTTTCTCCCGTTTCCCCTTTGGAGAAGAATGCATAAACTGACTCATGACAGCTCATCCCCTCCCAAGTTATCGAATACATTGAGGAGCACGGTCTCTACACAGAAGACGACGCGACAACAAATGAGACCGGCAAGGGCAAGGAGGTAGCCCAATGATGTCACCGAAGAAAAAGCACTGGGCGCAATTTGATTCTCTAGAGAAAGAGTCACAGCGAGATATGGTCTAAGAGAGAGAAAGACAGACAGAAAGACAGCGACCGAGGAAAGAGAAAGGGGTGTTGTAAATGGCGTGGATATCAGCGTTTGGATTTATCATGAATATGTCTTCTCTCGTAGAGGAGACCGAAGAGCGGAGAACGATTAGTTTTCTTGTTGTTTTTTGTATGGGTTTACGGTGCATCGGGCAGGCTGGTTTTCTTTTCCTATATCGACTACAGGGACATCTCCCAATCCACAATCAGAAGTTATCTTCGACGGCCTCGTTTGGTTCCGTCACTACATCTTTTGTCTCTAATTCTCCTGCCTTCGTATGACACGTGGTTCCATAATTGAGGTCGTTCGACAGCTCTAATGTGTGAGTCACCTTGTGGTTCTCGATACCCGGTTTTTGTCTTTTTCTTCATCCCTCATGAAATACTCAGATTTCTAGTTTCCCAGAAAGATTGAATTCCCTCAATAACCTCCAAGGCTAGAACCTATCCTGCTATTTAACCTTCTTTCCAGGCCACAGAGAAAGCTTAGAGGAACCCGAAGTATGGGTCTCCACCATCGTCGCCGACCACTTCTGGTGCTCGCCATCAGATATCCACCGCACCACCCTTGACCCGCCAGTCGAGACCTCATGTACTCAGTCCGCCCATTGAATTTTCATTGCCTTTGGTGGCTTGGGGTAGTGGTATAGCGCATCCCTCAGGGGTGAACGAGGTTGTGGTTCGAATCCGCCGCGTGTGAACACGCAGGCGTGCAATTTTTGCCTTTTTCTCTTCTTTTTTCACTCAACAGCTAAGAACACTTGCTCTGAACAAATGGAAAACCTCTTCTCTTCCCTGAAGAAGTTTGACGGAAATGCACATGTTGCGGTAAATTGTTTGCTAACGGGAAAGTCTTATAATGATACCGTGCAGAGCTTTCTATAAAAGCCTACCTACTCCTAGTTACTAGTTTTCTTGTGTTTTCACCACAGAAAGCCAGGATCAAGACTACACAAACGGTAAGGGAATGCTCGCTGTATTTAATAAAAAACGAACAGCCAAGCAAGCATATCAATAAGAAAACAGACACCTTAGATAAATCTCACTTCCATCTACCTCTTTCTACGGGTGACTCTTCTTTTGGCCATTTGCAGCTCATAGCTTGATAACGAAATAATCCCAAATAAAGGAATTGCCCAATCCGCATCTGATGCCTTAGTAGGGCCTTCAATTAAGATCCATGACGTCCTGCTGTACACTCACATATTTTTTCTGTTAGATTTCCTAGGCAAGAAAGACACCGAGACTCGCCGTGTATTGACCTTCTGGTCGACAATGCAAGTTTAGTAAACTTGGTATTGTCGAGGCTATCTTGAGTTAAGCCTCGACTGTTTGGGAATGTCCAGGCAATTCGTGTCGACGATGTCTTTCTTCGGTCAATACTAGTTTACTGTCTGGTAGTTTTGTCAAAGAAAGCGAGTGGGCACTGGAAGACACACAAGAATGAGACATATAGGCATCTGATATTATGTACGACGGATTGTTGACATCGCCAATTCATGAGCAAATACATGGACCCCGCGATTCGATCGCCGCCAGCCCGGATAATATGCAACCTCCAAAATCCCCCAATATAATGGCTGTGGGTATTTCCTCCAGCTCTGTTTTGGACTTGACCCCAACCCCCCAAAAGATTAGCAATGTACACATCCTGACTCCTCAATAATGACCGGGTCCCTGAAAGGACTCATGGGCCTTCAATATACACCAACAGCCGAGTCATACACTAAACGATCCCCGCATGGCACGAACGGTCCCAACAGCCGGTGGTGCTGTCAGCTCCAGCTCACTAGTCTGGTCGCTCCCATGGGCTTTGGAATGACCATATCGATTGCATATGAATCGGCCATGGTGTTCGGTCCTCAGGACCTCGATTCTCCTCCCGCCAAGACGACTGTCGCAGTTGCTGTGGAGTCGCCGTGCCTGTTGCCGGTGTCTCATGTCCGCCCACTCCTCTTTGAAAGTAGACTTGGTGGTCATGAAGAAAATGACGGCATTCCACACACCTTGAAGCGGTAGAACCGTAGCGCTCGCGACACTCAGGCCGAAGCTGATGTCGTTAGGCTTGATGAGGTTGTAAACCCGGTTGATGGAGCTCGGCGTCCAGGTAACGAAAACCGAAATGGCAAAGATGAAACTCGTTCGTAAGTATGCGAGCTTGACAGGGTCGAGGCTTCGGAGACGAGCCGAAAACTTCTCATTGACGGAATTAACGCGATGGAAGATGGAGCGTCTCGGTTCCGGTGGAGGTGGACTTGAAGTACACGTCGTTTCGAACTGTGGACTGCTCGGCGGGGCATCATGCTCGTCACTTGTGCGCCATGAACGCTCGTGTCGAGTTTGCTGATTGGATGGCAAGTCTGGTGTCATTGCCGATTGAGGGATCGCTGGTGGTGTCCAAGGTCTTGGGGTGACGGTAGTAATTTGTATCTCCGTCATAGCGGTGCCGTAGAACTCGGTGCGACTTGTGAGATTCTGATATGTGTCAACGAGAGGCCAATCATTGGGAGTTAGTGACAGTTGAGCTACCTTTTCTGCAGAGTCTCGTTCATCCGAGCACGAGAGGTCTTTGTTGTCTCTAGCCGGGTTGCTGAAGGTCAAGTTTCGGAGCTGGTTGCGTTGATGGAATACATGATAGCCGACGGCAAAGTAAATGACACAGGAGCCGAAGATGCAGCACCAAATAGGTATGTAGTAGGTGTAAATGCGAAGGACACTCCATTTGTTGTTGATCCAGCACCATAGCTGAGCCAAGTTAGACATGCCATTTGACCTCGCGTAACCCGAACTTACTGTGGAATCGCCGTAGATCAAGTCGTCTGGCCCGTCGGGCCTCAGAAGAAGAAGAGAGAGAGCAGGAATTAGAGGAATGCCGAAACAGACAAGACAGTAAACCCAGAGGTGTTTGCGGAATGAAGAAGGGTTTGCGCCGGCGAAGAAAACAAGGAAGACGTTGATGGCCATAGCAAAAGACCACCAAGGATCCGATTGCATGAACCTGTGAAAGTGGGTGTTAGTGGTGACAACACGTGGGAATGTCGTGAGGGCAAACCAACATTTCAAGCAGGAAACCCTGAAGCTGGCACAAGGCGGAGGTTTCGCCGGCACGAAGGCCGTCGTATCCCATTGCACAGGCAACACTTGCACCAACGTTCGCGATTGAAGCCATGAGGATGAAGAGATTGGGGACTGTCCGAAGGCGCTTGAAGGCGTAGTAGGTGATGAATATCAAGGTGACGCCGACCAATGACAACGAAGCCCCGACTCTTTCGAGGGCGATGACGATGTCGATTTGCTCTTGGGATAGGGAATCCGAAGTCGCCCTTGCGACGGGAGCGCCGTGGCTGTCTCCCATACTCGTTGGTCGGCTTCAATATGGAAGTTGGGCTTGAACCTTTGATGAGTGTGAGATGTTTGAAACGAGTTGACGAGTCGACGAGTCGCCTGTGTGAAGTGGTCAGCATGGGAGTCTTTTCTGTCCTCCACGCCAGGACGCATATTGAGCAGAGCGGCAGGCGTACCTGGAACCGGATGCTGAAGGCTGAAATGCAAGCCGGATGGTCGCGACTCGAGGGTCCCTGATGTATGCCGGATAGGGCCGAAACACGAGGGAAAGAAGAAAGTAATGACAGTTGTGGTACAAGAAACACGGGCGGAACAAAGAACTTGGACACTCCGGATGGACAGGCCACGGAGAGGTGTGTTGAAACGAAGTGGCAGGCCTCGATGGCTCGGAGCCCGAGCGAGATGCCGTGTTGCTGGACGGCAGCTTTGTGCGACGATCCACTGGCCACTGCAACGCGAAGTAGGGAGAAGCGTGAGTCGGAGGGCGCTGTAAATCTTCGGCTTCGAGCTGGTCGAGGAACGAGCGGTCGAAATAAGATCGACAGGTGGTAGGCGAGGTCGTGTATTAATCTCAGGCAGCCCAGGCTGGTAGCCACATAGGATCGAGCAGCTGCATGACAGACCGTGGTGCTGGAGAGAGGCCAATTGCGGCGCGGTTACACGGCCGAGAAGGTGTGAAGCAGACGTTGCATGGGTCGTGATGGTGGAGGCGGGTTCGTCTGGAGTGTGGTGGTGGTGGACGACGTGGAGGAGAAGCAGAAAGATGGTTGCGAGAAAGTACAGGAGGTTGCAAGCAGATGAAGCCAGCAAGGAGGAAGAGGAAGGTGCCAGGGCTTCGAGTCGATTCAAGAGCAGTACACTTTCTGAATTGGGGACTGGCGTTGGCAACAATCCGGGGTGGAATATGGTAAGGTCTAGATTTCAACACGAGGAGGCAACGGCCGAATGATGCTTGCCATGTAAATGGGAGGAGGCAGCTGGGCAGGGGCAGGCACCAGGAGGCAATGGCCAAGAGATGAAGTCAAAATAGGACACTGTGGACCAGGAGGGAAGGAGCGGGCAGGTGGACTCGTGGAGACGGGACGAGGGGAGGCAGGCGGTGCCATGGGATGGGGAAGGAGAGGGGCGGAGAGGCGCAACTGCCACCCCAAGATGGTAAGGCTGGGTGCGAATATCGCGGGGAGGGAAGGAAGGAAGGAAGGATGGTTGTTGCTCGAGTCTCGGACCCGAGGGAAAGAGCTGGTGGACCACGACGTCACAGGCCGGAAAGGAAGGACGAAGAGGGGGAAAGGGTCTTGGAAAAGGCGGCACAGCAGTCACGCAGGAGAACCAATGCTGGACAGGGCAAAGAAAGGCGAGGTATCTCGAGCATCAAAGCCGCACTGTAAGGCGAGTCTGGTCAGATATTTGCGTTGTTGCATCTGCAGATCCCATGCATGGCCTGTCTGGGGGCGCTCGGCAGGGCTGGGCGACGGTTGTTGACTGACCCTTGGCCCTTGCTCCTTGGACGAACAGAATGCGCAAACAAACACTGTGGCTGACCGAAGGAAAATGGCTGTGGAACTGCCCTCGATAAAAATAAAGGATGGGCAAGGTATTTCCCATTCACAATGTGTAGGTCATAGAAGGTAGCCAAATTCCTCCATGTCAATCCAGATGAGATGAATGTCCCCATCAGACGAAAGAGAGTAACAGACGAAGAAGTGGCGCTTCGTCTGACTGCTGACGGGACCCTTCCCGTATCCTCAGATGACGATGATGACGGCGGGGCCGTGAAGGCGGGAGGCAGGAACCGGGCAACATCTTCCGCACTTTAGGGAAGGACGGGACCTGAGGTGAGGAGGAGAAGGAGGAGGTGCTACTTCCACACAAAGCCTGGGGTGTGGGTCAAAGAACAGTTGAGGAAGGGAAAGAGCACCTGGATGCAACCGACACTTGGCCGGGAGAGACGCGACTGCAGGAGGTGCAAGCCAAAGGGCAGGGCAGGGCAGGGGCGTCACACAACAAGTGGAAGCTGCTCCGTTTGGCCTGCCTCTTGCCTCGACCGTTCGGTATGTCTCCAGCTTTGCCTTTCTCCGGACTGCCTCACTTGGAGCGCCACAATGCTGGAGGTGAGGTGAGGTGTTGTGTGCCTCCACGACCATCATCCAATGAACAGTTTGCGCTGACCGCCAGTTCCAAGACCTCTTTCTCTCTCCGGTCATCATCATGGCTGAAGTATTGCCGCATGCCTGATGCTCCTTTCCATCTTGCGTTCCAACGACGCAACCCGCCGCTTTGTCGGTCAGATCGAAGGTGTAAGGCCGACACGAGGACCTCCAAGACGGATGGACCAGCAAAAATGCGAAGGGGAGTCGACCCGTCCTCGACGATCGACCCGCCCCGATAATCGAGATGCAGACGACGTGGAACCCGGCGCAAAAGAAACATGCACCGATCGACCCCCTACCTAGCGGTGTCGACATCCCCAGAATCCCCGTCTCCTTGTCTCGTCAGCTGTCGCGGCTGCCAAGTCTGCTGCGAAATGAGAAATGAGAGCCTGGCAGATGCGATGCACCCCACTACCGTTGCAAGCCTCCAACGTGGTGGCTAAGGCTGCATTGTCTTGCCTTGCTTGTACTGTGCACCGAATGGGACGGCGTGGAGATGAAGGATGCGATGGACCGGGGCGGGAAACGACTATCCACTGCCCAACAAAAGACAACACCAGCAAACTGTCTGCCGCCACCAAGCCGCGGCGACAGCTTCTGATCCGCGGAGAATCTGGAGAAAAGCGAGAAGGCGGCACAGCGGCACAGCGGCGCAAGCAAACACATGGCGAGCCCTTCCAACAGGCCCAGTGTTAAATCCGTCATGCTGCTTGTCACGCTGCATCTGCGAATCACATTCGTCCTTTTCGTTGTTTGCCCCCTCCAATGACTCCAATACCATTTTTGCCAGCTCAAACTTCAAACGCCAAAAAGAAGAAGCCGGTACCCTACCAACTGAGTCCTCGGGAAGTCTCCAAACGATTCCCAGAACCGCAGAGAATACCCCCTTGGCAGTCGGGTATCATCGAATCATTTTATCGTCAACAGACTAACACTTCCGTGTCTCGTTCTTGCCCTCGGGCCAATTTCAAAGTCATGGCTCGGAAACACCATGTTGTGGCACGCATACGAGGAGCGAACCAATCGACGCAGCGCACCGTGAGCTTTGCGAATGCAGGCAGCCTAGGTGCAGCTCGTCAGGCCGGCCAATGAGGATACTTATGAATTCGGCCGTAGAAATGACTGAAGCAAGCAGGGTTATCACATCGAGACGAGCAAGCCCTTGACGCCTCGATTTTAGAACAAGGGAAACAGCTGCTTTGATCGAGGCATTCGCGCCATGCAGAGCTGCAATCGGTCTGAAGAAGAAATCGGACTCGACATCAAGTTCATTGTCGGATGCCGTGCCGAAGCAAACACCGGGATCATTCCTGACAAGACCTTGTCTTGTTTTGGATCCGAGATCCCAAATGTCCACGAATACCCATTCAAAGATCACCATGCAGGCAAGCAAACACCATCGTCCAGGTCTTCGCAACCAACAACCCACCAATCATTGTGATCGGAGTTGTCAGTCCCTTGAACGTTGAACAAGGTCTCCCCAGATCCAGAACCAATCTCACGCCATGTCCTCAACTTCATCGAACGGGCCACCGTGCGGCGTTTGCTGTCAGGGGGTTACGGCCGCAACTCGACCAACAGATCCCTCAACAGTTGCCTATTTCGTCGCAACCAATGTGTGCTCATCTCGGTCTGTCACATTACTTGATCACATCTTTCCTCTTTCCACCACGTTGTTTGCACCGGGCTGCGGCCGACCAACTCAAGAACAGCATCCCAGTGGAAGCCACTGCCATGGATGCGCATTCAAGGAGCCGAGTGCTTCTCAGTATCAATCAACACCTGGCACAGTTTACCAGGTCTTAGTCGGTTAATAAGTTCAGCAACGGTGAGGTAATGAGTGATTCGAGATTGTCGGAGAATGATCAGCAATTCAACAGTCATTGATCGAGCTCTGATGAGAAACAACTTTTTCATTCAGCTATGGCCGAGTGAAAGATTTGCTGGAACCATTCATCAAAACCCTCAGAGAGATTCGCAGACATGGCAAAGGTCTCCTCCGCAACATCAAACTGCCCAAGACTAGCCGCAGTAGAATCAAGCACAAACCAATCCGTCTTGAACCTAGCCGCAATCTCCTCAAAATTGATCGCATCAGGCCGCGCAGCAAGCGTCCGGTCCGAGAACGACTCCATGCCTCCCACCTCGGAGAAGATAGCATCAATCAGCACCACCCCGCGGTGCGCTAGAACATCGTTCGTCATCCGACCTAGGAGATGCTCTCGCGCACCGCGGATGGCGTCGAGGTACCCTTCCTGCCGGGCGTCTCGTTCCTTGCTCTGGTCGCAGATGACCTCAAAGGAGAGGATAATGGCGGCAGTGATGCTGAATGCGACGTGTGTCCAGAGGGAAACTTCGCCTGACTCCAAGATGCTTTTGTGTTCGCGGAGGATGGTCACTGCTGCTGCGACGCAGGTGCGGCGCGTGTGGACATAGTAGTCTGACTGGAATGAGAGGAAGAGGAACGGTCTGTGTATCATGACAATCTTTGTAGCATTTTAGTCAGTTCCCGATATCATGAATTCTTTGTGGAAATTTTGATGGCTCAAACCTTTTCGGCTGCAGTGATGGCGAGACTCTGCCGCGCAACGCCGAGCCACGCGCAATCGCCCTCCAGCACCTCGTCCTTCTGGAGAAGAAAACGCGGTATCGATTGTACCTGCTCTCTCATCTTCTGGTCCATGCCGAGGACATGGGCATACTGCTCCCTCGCCGGCTTCTGCGCCCTCAACGGGCCCATGCCGTCCGCCAGCTCCGGCATCAGCTGCGCGATGCCGCCCAGCACACGCGTGTACGTGCTCACCGTCAGCGTCGTCTCCGGCGTATCCACCAAGTCCGCGTCGTTGGCGTTTCTCGGGAGGCAGGTCGAATATTGAGACGGGTTGATGCCGTACGAGTCGGTAAAGGGGATCGCGAAGTGGTCTTGGATGACCATCTGAAGCCACACCCTGCGACCGATTTCTCTCTGCAGGGTATCGTCCCATATATCCTCTGGTGTCTGCAAGTCGAGGCTACTGCCGTCTGTAATCTTGTGTATGCCCAAGCACTCCGCTATCCGGATCGCGGCGCTGAACAAGGTGGCGTTCAGCTGGCTCAGGCCGAGGTTGTGAGCCACTTCAGTCGAGATCACAATGGCCTGCACAGAGTAGAGTGACACATTCTGGAGGAAGTGGGCCTGGTAGAGCGTGTCGACCATGAAGTTGAACAGCTCCTGCGGCGAGCACCTCGTCGGCAGGGTGAGCGGGAACGCGTCGCGGTGCTTCCAGCTGTTCTGCCAGCTCAGCAGCGACGCGGAGAGTACCGCGCTGTAGAGTGCGAGCCACGTCGGCTGGTCGTATGCGCCGGTGTCCCAGAATGCAGTGCACTGCTGCAGGAAGGTCGGGCAGTGCAGGGAGTTGTGGTGCCATGCGATGTGCTCCTGGTGGAATGAGATGAGAACTTCGGCTGTGCTTCGCTCGGGGAGGGGAGAGAGGGATGAGATGGGATAAGCGGGTATTCCCGACAGAGATATTGAGGATGTGCTGGTGAGGTTCCGCCTTTGGTGGCAAGTGCAGTGTAAGTGAGGGTAACAGTTCCCGTAGCTTCTGCCCCAGGCCATGTGCTCTAACGCAGTCACTGTGAGTGAGTTACGGGCTTTAGAATGCGAGGTAGACGCGTCATCCTGCCCTGAATCGCCATCTCGGGCAGCACTCTCAGACTCGTCGAGATTTGTTGTTGGCTGGGAAGCACCCTCGCTTGCTTGTCCCGGACTAGATCGTAGAGCATCTAGTCTAGCCATCACCAGATCGGCCGCTCTCCTCACCGTAGCGGCAGGGTCAGTGGTACTCTGCTGAAGCGTGCTGCGCAGAGTCTCGAGAAACCCAATCTCGGCACCGTGGCGAACTGCGTCGCGCCTCAGATGGACGACTTCGCGCTCGCAGTGGAGGCCGAGACGGTTGCATCTCGCGCATGGGATTGTTTTGTTACATTTTCTCTTTTTTCTTGTACACTCTGCGAGTGTTTGTAGGACGTCAGTTGAGGGTCTGCAAGGGTTCGAGGATCAGTCTGGGAAACTCACCGCGACAAGCGGGCAGACATGATCTGAGATTCAAATCAGGCCGGCAGATACTATTGAATGGGCATAGATTCCAACGGCCTTACTTCCTGTCGGTACACGTGTTACCAGAGTGGTTTAGGCCGAGTGAAATCTAAGATGAAAGTTGAGGGAACTTAGATTAAGCTATAGCACATAGCAGAGAAGAACTGTCTAGATTACATAAGCGAGCTAGTCCTTAACGCTCAGCTGATAAGAAAGAATGAGAATTCTTTGAAGCGTAGTTTTCCGTGGTAGATGTATCTGTAGACCAGATTGCATAGGAGTCTTGACTAATCCCATAACGTGGTGGACATTTATAAGCATCTTGATGTATTTGATCCCAAAGTAAGGCGTAGACGCCGCAACCTGCTATGTTTACTGGGAATGGGATGCTTACATCCTAAGCAAAGGAACCGGAGATGCTGAAGAAGTCTAATTCCAGCCCAAAGGATGTTGTGGTTCAGAAGTACATAGTATGATAATCCCATCGCTCACGCCACCTTGGCGAACCCAGTCTCAACAACCCCAGGCACTTTCCTAAACGGCTGCGGCGCCGTGCCGCTCGTCATCGTACACTGCCACATCAGCCTCTTCTTCTCCTCGTCCTCCTTATACTGCGCCAGCTGCCCCGTGATGCTGTGCATCACGCCGCGGTTGTGGAAGATCACAACGTCGCCCTCCTCCCACCGGTGCGCGTAGATGTTCTCCGCCGCCCAGATCCGCTTCTGGAAGCCGTAGACGATCTCGCGGACCTTGGCGACGTCGTCTACGACTGAGACCACCGCGCCGGTCGCCGGATCCCGGGTTGTCAGCTTGAAGACGCAGCAGCCGTGGACTTGGAGGAAGGGGCGGTCGGGGTTGAGGGGGTTGCGCCAGACCATCTGGGCTTTGTTAGGAAGACCATGGAGAAGAAAAATCGGGACGGGGAGGGGGTGGGTGGGACTTACAGGATGCTCGGCCACGTTTTCCCAAGACCATTCGGAGAGCTGCTCGATCGGCACTTCTTTGCCCACTGTGGGGATTGACAAGCCGTCTTCTGTCGCTTTGCATTGCCTGATGTATTCGTAGGCCTGAGGAGCGTATGTTACGGTCGTGTTGAGAGCGAATTCTTGCTCGGCCGGGGTAAGCAACTGGAATGCCCGCGCGCCAGAAAAAACTTGCGAAAACCGTTAGTCAGACGTTTTCATAGCACCAAAATTGAGACAGCCCTGACTTACAGGCTGTGGCTCCGGCAGCGATACTCTTTTCTTTGCCGTCTGGGAACTTGAGCTTCTGATCAGGCAGGTCCGGCACCTTGACTGCGTGGAGGATCGTGACCTCGCCGGGCAAACGCTGATAGAAGGGGGTGTCCATGTGCCATCGGTACGGACGGGTGGACCCATCGCTGAGCTCCTGCTCTGTCAGAGGCTTCTCATGGAACAAGGTGTGATCCTAGTCGAATTCATCAGTTCAAATGGTCAATAGCACTTGCTGGACTAGGGGCATACCAGATGAATAACCTCCAACTCGTCAACTCCTTCGTAATTTTGGAACTTGCCGCTCCCAATAATGCCCACTTGCGGCGCCCTGGGTATCCTCCCCGCCTTGTATGCCGAGAGGATATTCCGCGGGTCACTGACGGCCTTCTCGCCAGCGGAGTGGATATCAGTTGCTGTCGGATCGAAGATCTTGGTCAACTTGGGCAGAGTCTCGGGCGCGATGCCTCTCTGGTTTTTGATAACGACGACTTGATTCTCGAACAGCGCTTTCCTGAAGGTGGCAATGTCTTCCTCCGACAAGGCGTCTGTGTCCAAGACGTTCATTGACGATGGCAGATGGACTTCGGCGCCAATGAGAGAAGACTCGCGAAGAGAGGTCGGGAGCTCTGTAAAGGAGAGGCCCTGATATGAAGAGTTGAGACTGCCCATTGTGAAGTGTAGAACTGGGAATATGGAAAGTAATAAGGCTAGCAAGTTGAATTGGCTGAGTAGGAGAGTTGATGAGCCTTGTTTTACCCCGGGTAACTGCATGAACTTATACTCAATCACGCTTGCCCTGACATCGACGACATTGACCTTACTCCCAATTCGGAGTGGGTGAATTGGACTCACTCGTCCGCAACAGGAGGTTTGTGCTTCTCCTGTCGTGTAACACGCAGTGACGCGTAGTAATCGGATTGTCGCCGTCCCTGATTGGGCAAGCGAGGAGGGGCATGCGGGCGAGTTCTTCATCTCACCCGCACTTCATAGAAACAGCCGAAACAGTGTTCCCGTCAATTATCTCCGGGCGCACAGAGGCGCGGGTCAGCTCATGCAACTCACCCGCACTACCCAGATGCACCTTACAGCATGAACATTTGCGCCTGTATATATATACAGCAATGAGACCCAAACGATTTACTAAGTAGCCATTCTCACTCTTTCACTTACAGATTGTTTACTCTTCATCTCTTCCCATCATGGCAGCCGTCGTGTACCAGGTCACAGCGCTTCCCAAGCCGTTTGAGCAATCGGCAGTCGATTTCGGCGCCGAACTTTCTGGGATTGACCTTGAACACCTTGACGGTAACACGCTCTTGTCCCCTACAACCAGAAGTTCAACATCCAAGCTAATCATAACAAAACTTAGATGAAAGCTTCAAAGTCATCAGAGAAGCCCTCTATACCAACAACGTCGTCCTGATCAAAAACCAGCACAACCTCTCCCCAAAAGCCCAATACGAACTCACCCGCTGCTTCGACCCGGACGCCAGCACATACAGCCACGGCGCCCGCATTGACAAGCGCAGCGTCCTCCACAAAGACCTCACGACGCTGCCGTCCCAGCCGCAGGTGCAGGTCATCGGCCACGGCGCCGTCGCCGCGTTCGAGGGGCTCACGGACCTCAGGCTCACCCACCCGCACCACAGGACGTTCCACAAGCACCCGGTGCCGGAGGCGGAGGACCGTGACTTTACGCACTTTTACAGGTGGCACATCGACTCTGCTATGTACGATTTGGACCCGCCGCTCGTGACGTCGCTTTTCGCGTGTAAGGTGCCCAAGGGGCGGCGGCAGATCTGTCGATACGATGACGGGACCGGGGACGAGCTCGAGGTGCCTTTGGGGACGACGGCTTTCATCAGTGGGTATCGCATGTTTGAGTTACTGTCGGATGAGGATAAGGAATTTGTCAAAACCAGCTTCGTCGAGTATGGCCCGCATCCTTACATCTGGATGAGCAAGGCCAAGGCGCGGTCGAATGGGCTTGGGCTCTTTTCTGAAGGCCTGGAGCTATCCCAAGACCAGCTGCCTGAGATCGAAAAGCAGAAGATTCGGAAGTACCCAATGGCGTGGAAGAACCCGGTGACAGGGAAGTTTGCCATGATGGTGTACCCGACGCCTGCGCGAAGGATCCATCGCCAAGACGGGACAGTGATGGAGGACCTGAAAGAGGTGCGGGAGTTGATTTACAGACTGCAGAGACCGGCTATCAGCCCTCAGTATGTGTATCCCCATGATTGGGAGGAGGGCGATCTTGTGCTTTTCAATAATCACGGCGTTATGCACTCCATTGTTGGAGCTTTTGCGGAGAACGAGGTCCGTCTCTTTCGGCAGTGTAATATGGCGGCTAGTAGACCACCTCAGGGACCAGACTGCTAGGGAAATAATTGAAAATGGTTAGGTGTCTTTTTATACTGAGGCAGCTCTTCTGAAACTTGTAGTTTGAAGGTTGTAATTTAAGCATTGCCCTACGAACATGGTATCTTCGAATTCTTCCTCGGCCCTTTCAAAGGCTCTCATCATGGTCTCAGTAATAAGCTAGTCCGCCCTTGCCCAGAAATAGGCGCCACCAATCTCCAATTTGCCTTTGCCATCCAGAGATTATTTACTTCCAGGGAACGGCACATTTATCCGCCCCGTGTCGGCAGTGCCAGTGCTTCAGAGATTGGCCGCCTCGACTCCCAGGCCAAACCCTGCTTCAGACGTCAACTCCAACATCCTCTCCGCAACCCACCGCCCGTTGTGCGGACCCGCAAAGCACGACGTGCGGACCAGCACCATGGGCCAGAACATCGTCATCGTGCGGTACGGAAGTCCGTCCGCCGGCGCTTCCTTTCCGTCCAGTCCGAACACTTCGCGAATGTCGTCGAGAACCTCTTCGACAACAGCGACTCCGTCGGACCAGCTGGGCATTTTTCCGACCTCCACATCGATCTTGACCGGGGCCTCCTTTAAAATGCCTTTTAGATCAAGGATTCTTTCCAACATGAAGATTTTCAGGCATCGGTAATGGCTCCGTGCAAGTGCGACTGAAACATCGCTCGATAGGGTGAAGAGGCCGTTGAAAACCCGCTGTGGTTGTCCTGAAAATGACGAGGCACCCGAAAAGCCGAGGAGAGTGACAGCAGCCTCGAGGTCGTTGCTCAGGCTGATGCCACTTTTCACCAGTTCCGCCAAGTCCTCAGCTGGCTCTGCAGTGAGTTTTGATACATCCCCTTGCACCTGCATTTTGAAGTCAAACGCTTTCTTGAAGTCGACCACCTGGCGAACAAGAGGCTCCAGAACAGGGCCCTTGCCCCATGGCGTGTCGACTTCTTCCAGCACTGACCAGATTCCCGTGAGGTGCTCTCGTTGAATAAATATTTCCATTAACTATCTCACTATTAGTGGAAGTGGTTCCGGTCAAGGGGGCGCCATCTTACAGCAGCGTGACAGAAGAACATAAAACAGCCTCTGTCAACTTCATTTGTGAGTCCCTGCTCGGCACGGAACTTGAACAGTTGCAAGCCTCCGGTGCCATGCGGGAAGACATTGTTCTCGAGATCAATAGCTTTTGGGCTTCGTTTGCCGACGATGACCTATTCTCTCTTAGCGACTGAAGATTCTGCAAAAAATTCACACCTCTGTGCCCAATGGGCTTGCGAGTACCTCCAACCTCCAAGAAAATGCCCCAACTTACCTCAAACATTCCGAAAAGAAACATTGTTACCAGGTTGCCGTCATCCCTAGCTCTCACCGGATCCCTTAATGCCTGGTTCAACGTTCCAATCGCTTTGCCATAGTGTTGCCGCGCTTCCAGCATCAGACCTGGCTGGTGCAACTGGCGTGCGGCGCTGGCTAGTGCCACCGCATGTGTGGCATGTCGAGTATGGCTGGCCTCGGAGAGGTCGCTCTTGTAGTGGTCGGGTAGTTGGTTGAAGAAGACGATGCTCGCGGTCGTCGCGTAGTTCGCATAGAACCGGCTCAGCGTGTAAACTTCGGGGCCAATCTGGATCGTCCGGGGGAGAACGACTTCCGGCCCTGATTCATCGTCTGGCGTGATCAGCCCCTGCTGCTGCCGGACAAGCGCAAGCGGTGTATTAGTTGGCGTTCCGCATCTTGGGCTACCTCCGCCGATTCGCGGTATCGCGGGGGTCTGCTGGCGATGCTTCCACCTCGAAGCCCATGATGTCGGGTATCCAGGCGACTTTCGGCTTTGAGAGACGGAGAACAACGCGCGTCGCGACTTTTGCGTATCGCGCTGTTGTAATTGGATCAGTAGAATGTACCCAAAAGGGGGGAAACAAACCAAGACTGCATACCCTTCCACGCTTCTCATCAGCACGCGCCTGGCCTTGAGTTGGCCCGGCCGGACTGGCCATAACGGCTAGGTCGTGTCAATACTGCGAAGATACGAGGCCGACATTCGAGCGACGCAACACTCATCACCCTCCTCTACAGACGCCACAATCATCGATAGGAGGCAGCTCCGGGAGCTATGTATTGTAGGAGCTTGCCCCTTCCCCCACGGCAGAAACTTGGAGAATGGCTAGTGTGAATGGGCTAATCCCAGTTCAGGATCCTCGAAGCTCCCCCAAGATGGCATGTTCCATGTTGTACGCGACGAGCTAAGCTAGGGATGTTAGGCGCATGCGGCAACCCCACGGCAAGGCAAGGCAGAGGGAACCTCGGTGCTCGAAAGCTAGGACAAAGCTTAAATGACCGAACGTCCTTCCGGTGGCGGCAGAGAGTGAGACGTCACTTGGACCTTTTGGACAGCGACCGCGTGAACTCTAAAACGCGAGCACGTCGGCCTCTAGTCGTCTATGTCGTGCGGCATATCCCTTTGAGCGCGCGCGTATTCGGTCCCAACTACAGCGCGATGGGTGAAATTATTTCCATGCAATTTCGTCTACTCAGTATTCTTGGGGGACAATTCCAGTAAATACGTTACGTCACATACGGAACATCCCCCGAGGCTGAGACCTATCCAAATCGTTTAAGCTACTAGCTAACATGAAGACTATCCGTCCCGGTTCATCGACAAGCCAAACGCAACAACTGGAAGCGCCCAAACTAGTCCGAAGACGAGCGACGTTCGCGCTGAGTTTGCGATTGAAACTCGCGGCCCAGACTCGGACATGAGGCTTAACTCGCACAGACGACACCATAAATTCTGCCCGCCTTTCAGGGTTCGAGCATGTCGCGGCCATCACATTTCTGCTCCCCCTCTTGGCCCGTGTTCTCCGGCACTCACTGCATGGCGCTGGACCCTGAAGATCTACCGTCAACCCACGCAGCTGCTGCATGGCCCCCAACAATGCCTGCCTTCGGCCGTTGGATGTCTGCGTGGCCCCTGACAGTACGGACACAACCCCAACCCCGCGTCCAGTGTCGTCGGTTGCCACGGAGGAAGGGGCAGGGGGGCGTGCGGACCGCCGCAGCACGGAACGGTTTATGTCTTGTCTTCAGTTGACTGTGATAGCAGGTCTTGGCAGACACACAGCCCGTCCTGTCGTTGGGCGGGTAGGGCTATCTATGCTTTGGATCACACTAATCGCCAACCTTTTGATATCATATGACCCGGGAAGCCTAGAGGCGCTCCAATGCATGGGATAATTCAGGATAGAGGATGAAGGTTAGATAGGTAGCTTACATCCAGCCCCGACACATGCTAAATTCATGGATGAACAACTACCTTACTCCTCACTCACCTGCAAAGCATCGAGATCTGCTGGCTTGCCGCGCTCTTTTCATCCCAGCTGGGATTTGGCCCGTCTGCCTTATTCACAAACCTCTCGTTAAACCTCGAACACGACTCCTGCCGTGCGGCGTCTCTCGCGTCACTGACGCCTTTTCGTCACCACCATCACGATCGCATGCGCCGTACCCATATGGGCCTGACGTCAGGGAGCCCCTCATGCCCCGAGCTCTGGTGGGGGAAGATAGATGCCGTTGCATCGGAAGGGGGGCAACGAGGAAGAGCTTGGATCCGACGACGAACCGGTTACCACAACTATCGCCGACTCTCCAGGCTTCACCCTCGTCGCCCCCAAGAAAGCTCAGACGTCCCAAGACCTCAGGCGCGGCACGGAAGAAGGCGGACGGCACTCTTCAAACTTCACGACGGCATTTCGGACGGCACCCATACCGTCGGTCTCGCCCAACGCCACACTTCACTTGCCGCCGCCGCACACATACTGCGTAGAACCAAAGACCACCCTGCGAGACGCGCCCTTCAATGGCCGACGTATACGATACGATGGCACGGCATGGCTCCTGCACCGCCGCCCGGCGCCTTGCCGTTGATCTTCATTGCCGCACCTTGCCGCGCTCCTCGGCCCCTCCCCCTCATCCCCCTCCACCTCGCCTCTGCCTCACCCCAAACGCCGTCGCCGTCGCCGCCGACGGCACAGACCAGACAGATTGCGGGGTGAAAGAACACACACTGGTGAAGCTGGCTCTGCGCATGGCAATCGAAGCCTTGCTCGTCCGTTGCCGAACCTGCTGCGATGAACGGCCATCGCACGACGAACCTTATCGCACGCGCCAACGCCTGTCAACGTGTCAGCTCCGTCGGCGTTTAGTTTCTGCTCTCTTGACTCTTGAGGCATTCCCCGGCAAATGAGCATCCTGCGCTCGGCACAGTCGGGTGCGTTCTCGCCCCCGTGAAACTTCAATGCCGTCCGCTGCGGATGGACGCCAACCCGCCGGCCGTCCGTCGCGGCGGCGTTCGTCGGCGCTGCGGACAGGGCTGAAGGCTATCGTGGCCTTGGCCTTCCCACCACCACCCCAGCCCCGTGGAGGTTGTTTTTCATTCATCCGATCTCCCGAGGGCGTCGGGTGTCTCTTCTTGCTGAGGGACATCTCAACTGCCGTGCCATGCCAACTTTATCAAACACACTCACGACTCTTGGGGCATCACAGCCTGCCAGCCTCAGCATCAAGAGATGCATTCTCGTTGGATCGATCCGCGCTTTGCTTTGAGGCAACGAATCAATCACTTAAGGTTAAATGAATCCACAAAGAAACAGGGCCGAACTGCTACATGTACCATCTGTAACAATCTTCCTCTGCCGCTGCCGGCACATGTTCGTCCCTGGCCTCAACACCACCACTATGACAACCACCACCGCACACCGGCCGCACCACGGCAGGATACTCAATCCATCGGGTGTGGGACCCCTTACGCGGCACTCTTCACCTTCTGCAACACACCAATCTTCTCCAACCAAGCCTCCAGCGTCGCATTAAACTCCTCGCTCTTGAGCTGATGAAACCAGTGCCCCCAACCCTCCATCAGCACGATCTCGTCCAGCGCCTCGTCGCCCTTGGGCATGTGCGTCCGGTCCGTCTCGACGTACCAGTCCACGCTGCCGACCGTCAGCCGCGGACACTTCAGCCGGCCAGCGTTCGCCGCGACGCTCGCCTCGCGGCGCCCCGGCGAGTCGCCCGCGTCGCCCCAGCCGCCCCAGCACAGCCCGAACGCCACATCGTCGTCGAGCTGCTGCATCCGGCGCAGGTGCCACGTGCGCTGCCACGCCGGGCACGCGGGCGAGTACATGGTCTTGTCGAAGTGGTCCACGAGCATGGGCACGATGTTTTTCGGTGAGTCAAAGAACATGCTGTCGTGCGGGGAGCGAGGGTACGCGTGGATCGGGTCGAGGCCCACGCACGCGACGACGGTGCCGGGGAGCGCCGTAGCGATGAAGTAGCCCGCCGCGTCGCCGAGGGAGTGGGACATCACGACGAGGTCCTTTGTGACGTTGAGGTGCGCCAGCAGGGCGATCGCGTCGAGGGCCGTGGACTGCGGGTAGTAATCGACGACGGCCGGGTCCGCGGAGCCGTCGGGGCCGGGCCAGGAGCCGGGTGGTTGGCGGTGCGGGGATGTTGGAGGCGGGGCGGCGGAGCGGCCCTGTCCGCGGGGGTCGATGGAGATGACGCGGAGGTTGTGGGCGAGGAGGAAGGGGACCTGCCAGGACCAGTCGTGCATGTCGCAGGAGAGGCCCGGGACGAGGAGGACCGTCGCGGGCGGGTTCTCCTTGGGCCCCTGGTCGAGGTAGAAGATAGGCACGGAGGGGTTGCGGGAGAAGAGAGGCATCTTGGCGGTGGGGATGTGGTGGTTGGGCAAAGGGCGAGGGAGAGCATATGGGAGGCACAACGTGAAGGACGTCCCTTTTTAACGACGATCCGATTGACGGGTCGATATTCGTCTTGGGAATAGTGCATTGGGGCGTAAGTAGCATCGTTTCAGAGACATGCAGGTTCTACTGTGGCTCACCCTCCCAACGGAAAAGTTGAGGTAACTCCGGGGGATTATGCACAGCTGGAAGAACCCCGAATCGTGATGCCGATAGCCAAGACCCCGAAACTTCGAGCCTCGGCATGGAAAAGTAATGCTTGCTAGGGCGGGGCTCGATGCTGCCTGCAGGCACCTATCATCAACCAACATCTCGTACGAGCTTCCCTTGCCACGCTTTGATTCCATGCTTTTCGTCGCTCGGGTCCCGGCGTCGTACATGTGCGCGATCCACAAATAGCGGGAGGCAGAAAGGACACCGGTGACCCGGCCCGGGGGGGGGGGGGGNGCCCGGGCCGGGGGGGGGGGGGAGAAGAATGTCTCACGTAAGACCTAGACTGCGCCAAGAATTCCTTCAGCAAGAGAGAGATCTCAGTTCGAAGTGGAACCGCATGCAGCGTAAGCGGGATCCGGTTTACGAGCACCCTTTCTCGGACTTGGATCCTTGACTTTCAGGGTCTGTGGAGACGTGATGGTCTGCTCAGTGCCGTACATATTCAATGGCCATGCTTTGGACAGGAGTGCCGTAGCAAAGACAGGTTAATCCAGCGTCTGATGTTTTTCAGCGAGACATCTAGGAAGAGACCGCTTATATGTCCTATGGTGATATATCCCACTTCAATGCCATCATCGCCGCTATTGTTGTCGTTTCTGCTGCTACTGTCGTTGTCGTTGTTGTCGTTGTTGTCGTCGTCTTGGGTCGTCGTCCTAGGCCGTCGTCCTGAGCCGTCGTCTTAAGTCACCGTTAGTTGTCGCCCTTAGTTGCCGCCCTTAGCTGTCGTTCTTAGCTGTCGTCCTTAGTTGTCATCGCTGCTATGTTCGTTGTCGCTGGTGTCGTCGTCGTCGCTCCTGTCGTCGTCAGTGAACAGCAAAGTAACAGAATGTGAACGTTCTAGAGGTGCATCAGACAACGCGACTTGGATTGGTCTCTCCGCGTTACCGATTAATGGATTCCTGACTACGCTGTTTGTACTTCTAAAATATCTAATGGGGGGAACAGTCGCTGCGTCATATGCCACTTCTTCAGAAACAAGTAGCTGATCGGCCCCTTACAAAATCGCTCCATTCTCGTCGATAGACGTCTCGCCATTAGCGCCTCTAGACGTCTTCCCATTGCTGTCGCACCCATTATCCCAATTCTGCGCGTACAAGATCTCGGCATGTGTCTTCTCCCACATGCACTCAATCCCCTCTTTGTACTTGTCAAGAACCCTTGGGGGCATTGGGAAAAAGAAGTCCTTCGCATCCTTGTAACTGCGGCATTTATACACTTTGGCCGCCGTTATTCCCCCGCTCAACCAAGTCCTTAGGTCTGGCATGTCGTAGCTTCGAAAGTCCAAAGTCCTGAAAATGCATAGGAATTCGTGGTTCTCCTCATAGAAGACGGCCGCGTGACGAGCGAAAATGATCAGCGATTCAGCCCAGTTAGGCGGACCCTGGCACCAGGGTTGCCACGGGTTGGCTTTGAGGGGTTGTTTCACTTCGTTGACCATGGTAAAGGCAATCAGCAAGAGTGTTCTGACATGAGAATCCCAATCGATCTCGTCGATGCTTTTCTTTTGCTTGGTTACGGCGATGATGGCCACCAGGAAGGGGAAGAGATCGTGGAGTGTAAGTGGTTGAGGTTCGCCGCGTTTGCACAGAGCCGTAGAGATTTGGACAATGACGCGTTCAAGAAACTGGGAATGAGCTTTTCTTCGGAAGATGGGCCATTGATCCTGGAAGAACCGACGTCAGCAGAGACTTGTGGGTAAAGTACATACGACTTCCAGACTGCACATACCTCGATGGCTCGAAGTACTGCCGGGGCATCGACAATAGTGATTGGGTTCTTGGACACAAGGAACTTGGCTAGGGCCGAGTACTTGCATAGCAAGGGTTCTTGAAGCTCCTGCTCCAGAACTTCGTCGGTCTGTATCTTCGAAAACCTTTCCTCGAGACAGCCGAAATTCTCATACCTTTCTACCGTCGCGAACGACATCTTGCGCTTGAGAGGGGCGGGCGCCATTGCAACGTTTGCAGGATGGAAGGACTCTGGGTAACGTAAAGTTTGATTGATGTCGATACTGGAAGATGCAGATATTTGCTTGATGCGTAGTTGAAGCGTGATGGAGAGGTAGAAGTCAGAATTTAAGGAACGGCTGCGGTTGGAATGTAGTCATTCGGGTGGGAAGCCGCCGTGGCAGGAGTCCGTCAACAAGTGGTACCTGCCTTGTTGGCAATATTTAGAGGGCTGATGGCAGTTACTTGGCCATGTGCCTGCTTCTTGCGTTCGCAAAGGACATTCACGGCAGGAATGGCCCCCTCTCGAAGCAGTTGGCAACCATAGCACGCTCTGGTAGGGAAGGAAGCCAGCTCAAAACTTGGCAAGCAGTTCCGACCAAGGCTGGTTATCCGAGCAGCAGTAAACCCCATGGTTTTAATCGCAGCATAAATAGTACTTCAATGAGGACAATAATAGCAGAGAAGATGATAGGGGTGGTAGTAACAACAGCGATCATGGACGACAATAACGGATGACGATAATCGATGACGCCGATAGATGACGACGATAGAAGACGACGATAGAAGACGACGATAGAAGACGACGATGGACGACGATAATACAGGCCATTGGAGGTGATGATGATGAAGGCGACAACGAAGAGGATGACAACGAAGACGACGACAACGAGGACGACGACAATGACGACGAAAGTAGTCGCTTGAAGGTAGGTAAGGTACTTAGTCTAGGAAAATACAGATTTACGGATTACACATGTGTGGTAAACACTGCCTGGCTAGCAAGACTCTCTACATATCCTTTCAGTAAGTGCGTCGACAGTACAACCTTTTCAAAACCAAAGGCGAAGCCTTTTCCAGGCCTGAACGTGGCCTGCCCACCGGTCAAAGTGACGACCAACAAGTTGCATCCACTTGATGCACTGGCGCCACCGCGTACCAGAGTAGCAACGCCAGCTTTCACAAAGTATCGAGGTTCATTTCAGAGCGTGCATGATTCAACCAAGAAGAAGAGATTCCCAAGTCAGAGTGACGCAAACATTATTGGTCGCAATATACAACTGTCAACTTCCATTTGTTGCAGATATCGCAGCTGTAGTCACCGATTTCGACCCACTCCATGCATCAAACCAATCCGCCGAGATCAGCCAACGAGCTCTCTACACTCTCAGCGCAGGGCTGAGCCACCGGAAGGTGTGATTGATCACCATCTAATACAGGCGGCAACATGAAGAACCATGGAACTTGGAGGTGATTAACGAAGTTGTGTGGTCAAAACGTGATAGCTAGGGTCCTCCCAGGCAGCAGCTCATGGGTGGTACAGGGGTAGCAGGTCCGCCATTACGCTAATTCATTGGCTGAAGAGACGACCTGGGTCTAATCCTACCACTGTGCTACTGCAATCGATCTAGCGCTTGTCTCCATCACGTGCGGGTCATCATTGTCGACACGCGGGTCAAATCGCCGGATGGGGACGTAGCCGCGATCAGCCGCAGGCGCAGGCTGCCAACAACCAAAGTCCCTTTCACTCTTTATCATCACCCAACGGAACCGCGATCACTCTGCATGTTACCGAGAACCCTGAACCAACTTACATCGCAAGTATAGCGTGGTGTGCGACAACCAGAAAATTCGACTCACGGTAGCCCGACATGAGCAAAACCAACGCGCTCGTGATGAGCTTCGCTCTGGAGCACAGGCCGCGACTCACAAGAACCAGCAAACCAAAGTCGCGGAATGGGTGTACTACTTGCAGGTATCTCATCTTCCTCCCGTTACACCAGTGCGTCAACTTTCACAGCGTGTACTAACTATCTCAATTCCTAGACGCCGCCATTTCAAGTGTGATGAAACCAAGCCGGCTTGCCTAGCGTGCCTGAAGTACCAGGGCTTTTGTGCAGGATACACGCCAGCCAAGACAAAACCACTCGCGAAAACTCCACCACAACGTCTCGTCTACCCCAAGCTTGCGGTCAGCCAGGCCAAAGCCAAGCTGTCTCTGGAGCCGAACTACGCGTCGCTCACGTTCTCTAATCAGCTCGAGAAGGACCACTTCGACTACTGGCTTGCATTCTCACAAGCCTCCTGTTTGTTCCGTTCAGACTTCGTCGCACAAATCATTCCACAACTTTCCTGGGATGACTCTGTCATTAGGAATCTGGCCATAGCTATCGGCGCTGCGGCCCTCGGTGGCAACACTCGAGAACAGCGGATTTGCGGAAAGGGCAAGTTCCACAAAGACGCCCTCGTGCATTACGGAAAAGCGCTCAATATGCTCTGCTCATCACCGATGTCTTCTGAGAGGACGTTGCTCGCATGCCTCATGTTCATCACTTTTGAGAGTCTCCAAGGGAACAGGGCTGCCGGGCTGAACCACATCAACCAAGGCTTCCGGATCCTGGACCAGTGTCACCAATCCTTGGAAGCCGAACGCAGTGCCCTATTAGACGGTATTTCCTCCAGCTTTCAAAAGTTCAGCCACCAGGCTTGGGCTCTGAACGGTCTACATCCTGAAGAAACAGAAAAGAGGGTACCCTGGTGCTGTCGGGGACGAAAAGCCCGGTACGCTATCGACGAGATGCCCCCTGTGTTTGAGACTTTGGAAGTCGCACGCCGTTGGTGGGCTATCGTCAGACATCATATCGAACACCACGCACCCTTACGAACCAAATTTCAAGTCAAGGGTTCCTCGGTGACGGATCATCCAATGCTTTCACCAGAGGATGGCGCACCAGGCACCTTAGCATATATCCACAGCTTCACTCGGTATCTCGACCAATGGGACGCCGCCTTCCGTCCGCTCGCTATAAAAGCTCACAATAACGATGAGAATCATTACCTGAGAGCGCTTAGTCTGAGAATCCAGTACTTGTATCTATGGGCTGGTGTGCGTACTGGGAGCTGGACGGACGAAACCGAAGCAGAAAAGATAACAGCCACGTTCCGCGACATCGTAGCCCTCAGTCGGCAACTCCTTGCCGCCGAGGCCAGTCGACCGCCACCAAGGGCGGGAGAAGGTGATGTTGAAGTATTTTCGATGGATGACAGTCCAACGTGGCCTCTGGCTTGCGCGTATCGGGTGTGCAAAGCCCCTGATGTGCAAAATGAGGTTGTTCAGCTATTCAAGCAGTATCCGCGACGTGACGGTCTTCTGGATACACAGGCGTTCTTGGTAGTCATGGAGTGGGTTGAGCGAAACGCCTCGGCTGGAATAATTATGAACATGCCAAGTCCGGTGGTGGATTGCGTTGTCTGGGACGACAGCACTGTCACACTTCAGAGGCAACTTTGGGACCCCGCAACGTCAGAGTGGAGCGACAAGAGCATTAAGTTCAGCATTGTTTAGACAATTGAAATGCGAGGGATGGCACACTCAACTAATAAAGTCTTCTCGCGAGTGAACTTTGTGCAAGAGGGGATAAGATAACTCATAGATAATGGGCTTGTTTGTACATGTTTTTGGTCCATGTGAGGCCCTGGTTGTAGAAAAGCATGCACATCATCAAGCATTGAGCTCCGCAACATGATCCACTTATATTCTCTTTAGCTTGTTATGAGAAGCTGTTTACTGGCCGAATGCTGGATCGCCATGGAAAATTGGTGCTCTTGCTGCCCCATTGCGATTGTCCTTCGGGTCTCTCTCCTCCAACGCGTCGTCTAGGGAGCGGGCTTCATTCTCTTCCTCTTCGACAGCTCTCTTGGACTTAAATGGACCGTTCGGATCACCATCAGACGCAGGTGGTTTGTCTTCGACGGCTCTTCTGGACTTAAATGGCCCGTACGGATCACCGTCAGTTGCGGGTGTCTTGTTCTCGACGTGGCTAACGGTTTCAACTTCAATAGCCCGACCTTCCAGTCGCGAACTGTGTAATACGTTAGAACACAGAGACGGGATAGACGGAATGCAATTAACTTACAAGGGGGCGGCGTAAGCAATGCCAAATGACAAGGCCACAGCAACAATGGAGAACTTCATTTTCAAAATAGTATTAGTCTTCTAGGTATTCAGACCGGCTGCTATTAGTTGCTAAGCTGACAATCTGTGCTAGGGGGCGCTTTCGATGGCGTCTTAAATAATATTTGTTCCGGACGAGTTGGGGGGGCCATCCCTGTCTGATCGCCTTAGTCTCCGCTTAAAGTTCTTGAGGGTGTTTCTGACGTTTGGGATCGCGACTCGCGACTCGCGATGCGCATTCTGCGGACTCCACAGTTTTGTTCGCACCTTGCAAGTTGTTTACCAAGAAAATAACCACGAAATCACTAAGCAGATTTACATTCACGCGATGTTACGTTGCCTTCGTATATTTACTTGAAGGAAACAAATCTCACTCGTTGCTTTCCAACGCAAGCAACGATTTTGTGACGTTCTGACGACGGGGATCTATGAGCCGATGGGATGAGCTAGTTTGGTTGATCAAACATCTTGCTCATCTTCGTCCGAAGCTACGATCGACGGACGTTCGGACACCGGTCATGTGAAAGTGCCAGTCATCCCATCGGTATCACAGCACCATGGCCCGATCTTCTCCCAAAAGTCACCCAGTTCGGACGACATTCTGAAGACTGCTATTCCCAATGCGCACGATCTCACTGGGCAAGCACACATAAGTGTCAGATGGATCATATGGAATGAACATGTTGCAATCTCAGATGCAATTTCTCAGCCTGATTGAAATAAACTGATGATCAAGTCTCGTGTCTCCACCTTCGTCAACACAACCCCAACGGACGTTTAGAACAGGCGAGCAGCGGCAGCAGCAGAGCCACTGGAAGCGTTGGCTTTCTTGCCTCCGTTGTCCTTGTTTCCGTCGTTCTTCTTGCCATTGTCAACAGCGGTGCCATTGTTGTTTCCTCCAGCTGCGCCCTTGCCCTTGCCATTGTCCTTTCCGTTGTCCTTGCCCTTGCCGTTATCCTTGCCGTTGTTCTTCCCGTTGTCTTTGCCCTTGTTGTTGTCCTTGCCGTCGTTGGCGTTGGCGTTACCGTTGGCCTTTCCGTTGTTCTTGCCGTTGTTCTTGCCGTTGTCCTTGCCATTGTTGTTATTCTTGCCATCGTTCTTCTTTCCGTTGTTGTTCTTCTTGCCATTGTCCGTCGCAGTGCCGTTATTGTTGTTGTTATTGTTGTTCTTGCCGTTGTTCTTCTTGCCATTGTTCTTGGCGGCGTTGTTCTTCTTTCCATTGCGGCATCTGCAAGACTTGCCCTTGGCGTCCTTGCCTCTCTTCTTTCCCTTTGCGCACTGGCAGTTGGCGTTGTTCTTCTTCTTGGCATTGTTGTTGTCTTTGCCGTTGTTCTTCTTGGCAGCCCCTGAGGAACGTGTTAGCCGGCTATCATGATCATATTATAAGCACTACAAATCTTCTTACCGCCAGCAGTACCATTCGCCTGTCGGGCAACAAGGTCTCCAAAGTGGTTACTCTCCTCGGTGTCCCGGGTAGTCAGACCATCCTCCTCATCCTCGGCCCGTGCGGCAAGAGAGAACGGTAGCGCATCCTCCTCATCTCTCTCAAAGATTGCCGCGCCCTCGGTGATCGCATCGAGATCGCGAGCGACTTCGTCACGGGCGGCGTTGAGCCCGGAGTCTGTGACGGCAGCAGCGGCAAGGCTGGCCCAGAAGAGAACGGAAACTGCCTTCATGGTGATGGAAAAGACGCCGGATGTGTCGAGTAATTTGAAGGAGAGGAAGAAAACGGGCGTATCGGATCTCGGATCAACGAAAGAAGGTGATGACAGTCAATGTCAGGTGGTTTACCCAGAGTTAAAGGAATAAGGAGTGAACAGAAGTGAAGGCGCCCGGCGCATGAAAGCTTGTGGTGAAGGTGGTGGACAAGTTTCAAGGCCGGAAGTAGAGGATATGTGATGATTTATACAGCGGCCTTGTATAGTGACGGCCTCTAGATGCTGGCAATACGGCGTCCCTTCAAGACAGTATTGGCCTTGCGGCAAATTACGGCATCCCCCTTACATGACCATCATATTGGTGAAACCGAGGATCTGCTAGAACAGCCAAGTTCCCATCTGAGACCCCGTGGGAAAATAGGCAGTGCAAGTTCCAGGAATGCAGATTGACAGCATGGGTGCGTTCGTCTGGTGTCAGGTTGAATCCTGCCATCCATTCAGCTGCAAAGTCTGCCACCAAATGGCAGGCTCTGCCATCTCGGCTCGGAGTCGGTACCGGACTGACATTTCAGACGAGGAAGTAGCCTGAGCGTGCAGGATACATCCCCGGCCAACTCGTCTATACTAGCCGTCTCCATATAGCCTTATGATCAATATGATCCTCAGCCCAAGCATTTGGACCAACGTGGAGACCACCGGCAGGCCTGTGCCGACCGGTCAGGCACTGCCTCATTCGCTTCAAATACTTCCATGGAAAACTTGGCGTGGTGCCAAGCTCACGTCGGAGATCGAAAATGTGCCCGCGGGGTAGGCTAGCCATCCGCGGGGGCCGAGGCCAGCGGTTGGGGTAATCATAACAACGGTGCCGTGTTAGCCTCGACTGTTTTGTCTTGGCCCGTGCTGAAAAGTTCAGACATCTTCTGACGGAAGCTAAGGGATGAGGCGGACATTGATCGTGTGAAATACCTGTTTCGGCGATTTGAGACGGGGACATGCCAGACCGTCTCAAGGAACACCCTCGACTTCGGATTTGAGATGGTTTTTAGAGTTAAAGTTTAAGCGCTGCAGGTGGCCTGAAGTTGTGGACATCGCGAGAAAACCGCATCCATCTCTCAATGCTCTGGCTCTTGCTCCTGCTCCTGCATTAGCTGCCCGACTGTTGTCTCATTACGCTAGGTGCATCAACCTAATGCATGGATCGAATGGTGCAACATCGCAGGTTTTCAGCGGCAACAGCATCCGACATTTTCGACGTTGACGTGGTCTAAATGTTCCCGTGTTAACCGCATTTGTGGAACAAAGGCCGTTTAGCCGCGGGAACTAGACTGCCGTCCGCCAACTTGGAACTGGGGTCAGCAACCGTCTCAGATAAATTTAGTAGAAAATAGCTGTGGAAGGAATGAAGCCTATCAATGACAAGCTTATTACTCGTTGCCGAAGGGGCATCATGCCTGCTAGCGCCACCACGTCTGGAACTGGAACGACGCCTTCCCGTGATCTGAGCAGGCCCGGTATCTCGAGAACGAACTTGACCTGTGACAGCCTATCAACTTGATGTAAGTTCTGTCATCCGAATGGCATGATTTTGTCAAGCTTGTCACTCGGACTCGAATCCGATCGTCGCTGCTCGAGTCAACCACGGTATGAACCCATTGACACCGAGAATGCTGGGCACCATGAAGTGACCGGTCTGATGTCAGACATCCACGATTGGGTGGCATCATCTCAAGTTTTCTGCCCTCTATATGATGTACCTGTAAGTTCATCTGTCGAGCCCTGTTTCGCATCTGTCGATCCCCCAACGTGGCTGAGCACGTTGTTTTTCTGAGAATCTTCTCAGGATCTGGCATCCCGATGTGTCGGTTGTGTTACGTGATGAGTATCTGCAAGACTCGATTATCAAATGACAAATTCCGTGTCTCTGTATTATTGATCGCATGTTTTGCTCACCAAATTCTGCAATTGCAATGCTATGGCTGTCGGATTTGAGTGATGTCAGGTGATTATGCTTTATGAGACAAGAGCCTCATTGACTTAACTCAAAACACCAAGACGTGATTTGACCATCCGAGTATCAGAAGCCTTGGCATGACTCTCGCGAATGCGATATCCGGGTTCCAAGTGAGTCAATTGACCTGAATGGGGAGGGTCATTGCCTGTAGGCTCCAAACCCCCAGTTTTCTTATGTTTGTTTGAAGGCGCGAGATGGCTTTCTCGAAAACAAGTACGTTTTGGTATCAAAGATCCATGCCAACAAATGTGTTTTTCTTTCTTTTTTTCTCTTCTTCTTTTGATTCTCAGAAATCCTCATCGTTGAAACCTTGGGGCCTGGATGGACCTTCAGTTTGGAATTACAGCACGTCTAATATAACTAACCAGGCCACCTTTGCGACGACGGCCTTGTAAGACATTTCCATACAATATGACACTAATGCCCATTGATCGGTCACGTTCAGACAAGTCAGAGGGGCTTGAACATCAAAAAAAATCCCTATAAGGCTCCCATGTGAAACTTGACAATTTTGTCGGCCACCTTCCATCAATTTCTTATTGCTCACTGGCGAACAAACTCAAATCTCTAAGCTGCGCCATTTCATAGTTCCAGTCGGGATATTTTCTTTGCGAAACAGTTGGGTCTAATAATCGGATACATCAAGACCCGAAGAATTGCAAGATACAGGCAGTCTAAAACCCCGTTCCCGCCGGCCTGACCTTGAAATTTCACTACCCCTCATCACACCACAACGGGGATATCACGCGGCATGCAGGGTCCCCTCACTTCGGCCTTGGCTTTCTTCTCGGGGTGGTACTATGATCATGCTTAATGCAACCCTGATTTCCAACAGGCTAAACTGCTTCCTACAACGTGAATGGCGGCATCTTCCTTCTAAAAGAAATTGAGTCCAAGACTGTCGCCATCCATAAGAAAAACCAAGCCAGGCTTGGTGTGCAGCACATTGGAGGTGTTAGAAATCTTCCACGCATTTCTTTTCGGAAGACTCTGTGTGTAATTTTGTATGTAAGGGACTTACAGGGTCACCCGACACCTGTAAGAGCCAACGTTATGCGCCGTTATTCTCCATGAACTCGGGCTGGCTATCTTGAGGACCATACCGTCTGTCGGAGACGGCTCGGAGTCGGTGGACCATCCTCCGAGCCCGGTGGAAAATGGCGTCCGGTACCGGAAATAATTGCACGACTACATTACGAAAACGTCGCGTATCCAGATATGGTCCGCGATGGGGGGCCGGAGAGGATTAGTGATATCAAGTTCTAGCCCTCAGGAAATAAGCAGCATTCATAAAGTTGATTAAGCGAGTCCAATCCTGCCTGAAGATCATGTTATTAAAAAGCATGGAGCGCCTCTCGGTTCTCTTCCGAGCTCCATTCGGAAATGTCTGGGGAGTCAACAAACAGGTTCGGACCTGCATGATGCATCGGAGCACAGCCCGGCTTCGAACGTAGAGATGTAATGTTTCCCGAAAGTCAGTTCACTTCACATCTCATATCCCGCGTTTTGTGAGCCATCTTTGGCCATATGGGGCATAACGACCGCGTCTGTTCTTGCTTCGAATCCTTACATGGCGCATCTCGCCTCGGGGCCTGTCTTTTCTGTTGGTACGATTGGCGCGGGTTGTTGCCAAGAGCTACCCTTGGATACCACCTCGGTAGAAACAACCACCACCGACTAACACCGAGCAGGAAGCTGCCATCTAATCTAATCAGTGACATTCAATCTAGCCCACTCCGATGCAACTGAGCCACTCAATACGATAGCTCCCCTGCATTGAGCCATGTTTACACCAAAGGAAACATCTGCTAGTGGAACAAACATTCTTGGCTGCAGACAGTTCTGCACAATTAATTACCGCGTTTTCTGGCACGATGGACGTACTTAATGGCCAACTTTGGCCCCAATGGATGTCATTTATCCCACCGGCTGAGTTCCAAAGAATTTACACTCTTCGGTCTTGAGGCTTCGTCACGGACTTTCAAGACGCCTCATTTGTCTTGGCTATGCAACATGGGATTCAGATCGCTGCTCGGTTTGAGCTCACTGCTCCTCTCTGGGGTTGCCCTTGGGCAGACCGCTTCCGTTGACCCCGAGACTATCCTTGGACGCGTTTCCCCAGTATCAGGAGACAGCGGCAGATACATCGTCAAGTTCTCCGGGGCCGGTTCAGCGAAGTTCAGGAAGCGTGACGGTACCCCGGTGAGTTCTCTTTATCATACAAACGGTAGCTGTAAATGTCATCTAATCATACCTCAAGGATTCCGAAGGCTTCTTCGCCACCCTGGCGGAATCCGGCAAGGACGCCTCGCCTGCTGTGAGCTTCAACTCTCAGCTTTTCCATGGCGCTTCGTTCGACCTCAAAAATGGCTCCGCCGATTCAGTCGCGGACATCCAAGCTTTGCCTGAGGTTGAGAAAGTCTGGTCAGCTGCTCTCTTCAGCATCCCTGTTTCCGGCGAAGCTGTTGTCGAGTCTCAGTTTCCTACCTGGAATCCCCATAACGACACCAACGTGAGGCTGGCACATGCCAATGGGTATCTCGGCAAAGATATCGTTGTGGCCGTTGTTGACACTGGAATTGATTACAACCATCCCGCTCTCGGCGGTGGCTTAGGCTCTGGATTCAAAGTTGAGAGCGGCTTCGACTTCGTTGGCGACGACTACGTACCGGGCGATATCTATATCCCTGACGAGGACCCAATGGATTGCAACGGCCACGGCACTCATGTTGCTGGTATTATTGCTAGTAGCAACGAGTTTGTCCCGGGCGTTGCACCATCTGCGAAACTACGCGCCTACAAAGTCTTTGGGTGCGGTGGCAGCACTTACGAGGATGTCATCATCGCTGGCTTTTTGCGGGCGCACGAAGAAGGTGCTGACATTGTCAGCGCTTCTCTTGGATCCAATCGCGGCTTCACAGACACTCCTCTTGCCGAGGTGGCGACGGCTATCCAAGCTGCTGGCACCTTTGTGTCGATTGCAGCAGGGAATGCAGGTGAAACTAGTAAGTTTGCATACTCAACAAGCACGCTGAGATTATCGTGCTGACAAAGTTTGAGATGGACCTTGGTACACAAGCAGTGGTGGCAACGGCATCGGCAGCACTACTGTTGGCAGCGTCGAACATGACGAGCTGGTGGCCTGGACCTTGGTTGCACGCTCTAGCAATGGCGAATCCAGAGAGATCGTAAGTCGAAGCTCTTAGCGCGATGATTCATTGTCCTCACCATCAACTGCAGATCTATCTCGCGGACAATGGAGTGCAATGGAATGTCAATGGTTCATTCTCAGCGTCGTGGCCTTCGGACCCTCGAGACCACACCGCATGCGGATACCCTTCTGCCATCCCAGACACGAACGTGCTGGTCATTCCGTGAGAAGCTCCGATTCATGCACTTCTAGTGAAATTCCTGACAGATTCAGGCGCGCCGATTGTGGATGGCAAAGAACGGACAGCGGATTAATGGGCAAGGTTGACTGGGTCCTGATCTACAACTACGAGGGTTCCGATTGGGAGATTCCCGCTCGTGTTCGCTACAACGCTGAGGAACAGCCCAAAGGATGTAAGTCATTGCTGAAATACCAAGAATTCTGCGTCTAATGCCAGGTAACAGACAGCTTGATCACCTACACGGACGGAGATTGGCTCGTGAAGCAACACGAGAACAATCACACTGTTGCTTTCGACTTTGTGAACGACAACAGACCCGCTGCGATTGATCGGCCATCATTCGCCGGAGGCAGAATCGACCAATTCACGTCTTGGGGTCCAACATTGGATGCTCGGATGGCTCCTCAAATTTCCGCTCCGGGTATGCCCCCGTTTAACACCTGCGTGAAGAAGCCTGAACTAATATGCCTAGGCGGCTCTATCTTCTCAACCTTCCCGCTTGGCTCAGGTGGCTGGGCCACGTTTTCCGGCACAAGCATGGCTACTCCCTATGTAAAGGTTCACCATCTGTTGAATGTCGTTCATTTCTAACGGACCCTAGATTGCTGGCGTTGCAGCTTTGTTCTTTGCTGCCAATGGTGGCAAAGCTGCCCTGGGTGATGGAGGAGCCAAGCTGGCTCACGAAAAGATTGTCGCCAGTGGCAAACCAATCCGGCACTACGACGGCACAGATGCTTTGGCGTAAGACCACCTGCTCTATAGATCCAACAACTTCAACTTACTTGGTAACTAGCTCGGTTGTACACCAGGGTGCGGGCTTGGTCGACGCCTTCAAAGTCGTTGGTTACTCGACTACGGTCAGCCCGGCTACTCTCAACCTCAACGACACTGATCACTTTCAAAGCACTCATGAGGTGAGGGTTACCAATTCTGGGAACGAGTCGGTGACATATCAGTTTCACCATGAGGCTGGGACCACAATTTTCTCCAAGGGTGCAGGAGATGCATGGATCTCACTGTCTCCCCCATACGCCACTGACGAGTCCAATGTTGCAACTGTCGACTTCTCTGCTACTGAGCTAATCTTGGGGCCAGGAGAGAGTGGCACTTTCTCTATCGCCTTTTCTGAGCCATCCGCGTCTGAGGCTATCAAGCTTCCTGTCTACGGTGGCTCTATCCTGATTGTAGGATCTCAAGGAGAAGCTGTTCGCGTCACTTACATGGGTACTGCTTCTGCTCCGTGCTACCGTGTGGTCCTGTTCACTGACTTGGTTCGCAGGCGTCAAGGGATCCATCTATGCCAGTGATATTTGGGAGATGGAACGTGGTGTTCCTCTGCTTCTCAGCGGATACGGAGGTCTCATGGAAGAGGGTCACAACTACACGTTCGAAGAGGGAGGAGATGTCATGCAACCCTACTTCAACGTTCTCTGGTCTACTCGAGAGATCAGCTTCGATGTAAGTAAAAGACCCTCTTTTTGATCTGTCTCAAACTAATTGTATGCGTTTAGTATGTTGCCCGGGACTGGAACGAGTCAGACTGGGTTTACCCCCCAGTCCCAGGCCAGAATAAGTACCTCGGGTCATTCATCACTGAGCCCTCCGGCCTCTCCGAAACCATCACGAGCTTCCCCTTCAAGAACTATCCTCGCAACAGTGGAGGTGTCTACGCCAAGCCACAGAACAAGTTTGCACACGGGGTAGATATCCCTGCTGGTGAATACAAGCTCCTGTGCCGCACGCTTCGCACCTTCGGAGACCCCAACAACCTCAATGACTGGCAGTACAAGGTATCCCCCTGGTTCCGGGTAACGAGGGAGAAGCCTCCGGTCACCGAGACCCCCGTTCCTACAACGGCTGAAGCTACTCCGGTGCCGACTTCCACAGTCAGCGTACCCGAGCCCTGCGCCGCTACAGTAACTCCCGTCAGCATTCAAGCGTCTCTTGCCTCCGGAGAGGGTCCATACAACCTTTACCTCTACTCTGATTTCGCTGCCATCGATCTAGCTGGAACCAAAACCTCCTTGAACTTCACTCTGACGAGTGATACACATGTTCAGACCTGGCTCGACTCTTCTTACAAGTTCTTCTCGGTGCATACCAACACCAACAGTCTGATCTACACATACACAGCGGGCAGAGTGTCCGGAGCTTACTCGTTCCTTGAATGTGACGCCGTAGATGGCGCTTTGCAGTGCGAGTCTAACGGCAAGAAGGCACTTTATATTTGCGACAGTGGAAGTGGTCTACTCCGCCATGGCACTGAGCCATTGGACGGCTGCCAAACAGTCACATTGACTGTTGGCCCTCGAGAGAACCCAAATTGTGCCACCGCCACCACTTCGGCCGGCGCGACGGAGATAACAGCAGTGCCTACTACATTCTCAACCGCCGTGGGGACTGCATCCTTGTCTTGAGCATCTGATCCCTCCGGCGTGCGTGAACGTATCAAGTCTCTTGTTGTCTAAAAACAGTCCACTACTACCGGGTGAACGCTCCGCTCAGCATCAGGCCTCCTTTCGACGCCTATTGCTGGACGCTCTTGATTGTTTCGCGAACGATCGTATTCATGTATATGTTTATGTCAGGCTGGATGTAATCTTTCTCTAACCACGGGGTACATTATTATGAATAAGCTCACAATTTCCTCATTTCGTCACGTCGTGAAATCGTTATCCCCCCTGAATCAGGGCAATATTGAGCCCCCGATCTCCACGTTCAATGTCATGGGACAGGGCCTTGAGTGTGGGGTTACTCAACACCCAGACCGCACAATCTAGTAGCTCAACTATTTGAAATGATTTCTAGCATTGTTGTATATAAACCTAGCGCTCCTCTCTGTACTCGGGTTTTCCGCAAAAGCGACCAAGGATGACCTTGAGTATTCCAGGGACCCCACGGAAGTTGGTCCAGAAGAACCAAGTGGGTCGCCCTAGGATATTCTGACCGTCACTCCGACGGTTTGGCCGGACAGCAGATAAACCTCAAACGGGTCGGACTTGGATGTTCTAGAAGGATTCTATTAGGGCTGTACTAGAGGACGATCAGTCTCAGGGAACATCCCTTGCTGATCTCTGTCAAGACCTTGACAAGCCACGCTAGATGGAGCCGGCTGTTTTATCATGTAGTAAACAAACGTGGCTAAGCTTGCTTGTACACCTGTGGCGATCGCAAAAAGACTTACTCATCGCGAAAACGAAAAGGGTGTGGAGATACTATACGACGTCACGACGGTTTCCTTCTTTCCGCGATAGGGGCCCACTACTCGGGGTTGCCATGGGCTTAGCGGTGTCGCAGATGAATCTCGATCCGTTTTGTAGGGTTACTTCAGCAATTGGAAGCTTGGAGGTATCTTGAATTGCAGACAGATGTTTCAACTATGGTACAGAGAAATTTTGGAATGGCACAAACGAACTTCCGAGCGCTTCCTGGGGCTGATAGGCTGGACCGGCCGCTGCAACAGATCCGCCAAGAACCTGGTATGGAATCTGTTCGCCCCCTGGAAAGCTCTTCATGTTTCCCCAGTGGTCTGAGCCACCTCCTCCAACACCTTCTGGTTGGCAAATTGGAGATGTCAATTGTTCTGAGGGTCCCAAGATTGTTGGGCTGCGTGGGTCTCCTCGTCTCGGGGTGGCGTCTTGAAAGCCCGACCACAGTGGTAATTGTTTGTGAGACAATGAGCCGTTTGAATCAAACGAATAGGACTGGCTCATGGACAAGCTATCCGAGAAAGACCTATGGTGCCCAGGGTTGTGGCTGTTTGGAATCCCAATATTGTTGGTACGCGGTACCGTGAACGACGGCCTACTGGTGTGGGTGGGTTGTGGTGCATTCCAGGCCACTGATGGGTTTGGCTCCCTCGGAAACCTTTCTTCATGGGTGGTAGAAGACGGTGATTGAGACAGGCTCATCTTTGAGTGAATCGCAGTAGAGTCTCCTGTCTGGAACCCCTGGACTCTTCGTAAAAATGCCGGCGAATATCTCTGGAAGAATCGATTCGAGAAATTGGGAACGTAGCCGGCTACTTTTCCATTCAATAGGGCAACATGCTCCGACTTTAGCTCTTCCAGTCTGAGCAAGTAAAGCCGTGCTGATGTAAATGTGTCGCTGAGGATAGAAAGCTCATCTAATGAGCGACTGTACAGATCTCGTGATGAAGCGAAGAAGCTTGCTGGGATTGGCGAACCGGCAAAAGGGGCCACATTGACGGCCAAAGCTTCTGGAATCTGTTCCGACGCATAATGAATTCCGTAATTGAGCACTGTTGCGGCAGTGAAGATGCAGAAACCAACAAATGGTGGTAATGGCATGTTGCTTGTCTCTCTGGCCTGGCCAACAAGCTCGAGAATCGCTGTTGCATGACGAAAGGCAGTCTCAGTAGCTTCAACTACCCAGTGTTGTATCATCTTCACACTCGAGGGCTCGTTCAAGCGTAGCGGTAGAATGGGCCTATGAATAAGGCACTGGATGAGGTGAACAACGAGGCGGGAAATAAACGGGAGATTCGTTCCAGGTCCTCCCTGAGACTCGGTCGGTAAATCCGCACTCGATTCGATGCTGGAGGCCCAGACGTCCAGGTCGTGGAGGATCTTGTGCCTCTGGCAGTATGCTGCTTGCGATGAAGTGTCGCTCAAAAGTAGATACCTGTTCGCTTCCGACAAGATTTGAGCCATCCAGACGAGCTTTTGAATTTCGTCAATTGGCTCCTTCGGGCTGGCAGAAAACCTTCGAAAGTCGTTGTTGGGGATTGTGACGAAATCGTTGCTTGTTCCCCAACCGTTGTGGCTAGGTTGCCTTGACGATTGAATGTCGGCCTTGATCAAGGAATCATCCATTAAAGATGGGCGCTCCAGCCACGTGGAAACAAATGTGTTCATGATGTAACATGTCCAAAAGACCCGTTTGGTAGTGTCATCATGGACACCGTCGCTAGGCTGAGAGTATAGCTCGAGCGTCATTGCCATGCCGACTGCTTGTGCTTCAGGTTTGGGTTAGCGACTGGGTGGTACACATTTCAAATCAATCCGCAGCTTACATAGAACAACATAGGCTCTCTTGCCATCCCCCATAGCTGCAAAGGCTGCTACTAGAAGCAACAAGGCCTGGCAGGAGTCAAGTGATACGTCACAAGGGTCAATCTCCCTTTGTGCCCATGCCGCATACGTCTCCCCAGAGACATGACTGCTTGGCCCTTTCCCAGGTCGTTCGGAGAACCTTTGAAGCTGTCAGTTAGGAATCCCTCCTAGCTGGAATGTATGGCATCATGACCTACCCCGTGGCTACAGCGCAAATTGCATACAGGACTGATCTAGGTAGTTGATTTGCTTTTAACCTTTGCCTCGTCGTGAACTCATCCAGGATGTCGTAAGGATTGCGATGAAATTTTGTGAAGTAGACATCCACAAGACCATCAGCATTGATAGTTGCCGAAACATCTCTGAAGGTCAGTCAGTATGTGAAGTGCTTAGCATAGGACTAAGAAGGGAAATGCTCACGAACTGGCCTCAAAATTGTTCCCTCTAAAATTACTGAACGGGCTGATATCTGATGATGCAGATCCGCAAGGCTCAGAAATGCCGCCTCCAAAGACATGCGGCTCAGCAAAGTCTGTGTTGATGATGTCGGTTCCTGGTGGTGTTGGCGTCTTGTCTGACTTGAGAAGCTCCTCGAGACCATCGATCCTCTTGATGAGTGCACTCAACGACTCCTTCTTTGGTCCTCGCTTCTTAGGTACTCCCTCTACGTTCCGATTAGAATTGAGAACAATCAATGTGATAGTTTAGTGAATAATGGACGAAGGTGCATTTCATACCGTAGAAGCAAGACCGCTGGTAGAGGTGGCAGACTCCGCAGGCAGGTAGTGCTCTGTCACACTTGATCTACCCGCACGTCGATCAGAAAACAAGCTTAACAACCAAACTATGATCACCAACCTTGCGGATCTGACACGGCCTGCAGTTCATGACTCCTCTCGCTGTCTTGGGTGCCGGGCTGTTCTGCGGGCTCTCGGAGTCTCTGTTGGCGGTCGACATTGTGCAAAAATATCGTGCGCTGGATTTGGAATCTGACGTCTTCCACCAAGACCCAAACGCTTTTGAGATGTGCCAACATGTCGATATTAAGTGCGGCTCATGTTTTGAAAAGGCCAAACACGCAAGCGAAGTTGAGTACTAATCAGCCCCTGCGTCGCGTCCCGGCACCGTCTTTTCCGTGTGGGACTCATGTTTGGATTGATTTCCCCAGCTCCGGCTGCGGGATAATTGGCGTTGATACTCGACCCCTCGCTGTGATACTAGTTACACGTGAAGAAACATCAGATGAGCTTTCCTGGTCTCTGGGAATTTCTCGTTGAAACCGGTCTCACACCACGGCCGGGCGGGGGTGGGCTTGATGAACAAACATGTTCATGAAGCCCGGGAAGACCCAGGGATGCATGCGCAGAAATATGGCAAGGAAGTCGCTATCTTTGTAAGGTACGGTAGTTTGAAGTCGGGGACGTTGTCCGAAAGAAGCGGGCGGCAGAGCAGGTGGAACTTGCCCAGAAATGTCATCTGTGACAACTGACGTCTTGTGACAAGGTGGTAAGGTGTCAACCCATCGAGTTGAGATGAATCAGACTGAGACAAAAGAATGGTGAAGAAATGACGCAAGTCATTACTGTGCCTAGGCTCTCCTTATAACGCTATGGGTGCCTGACGAACTCGCCTAGGGTTCCTTGTGTCACAATCAGGGGCGTCTTACTCAGACTCGCAAGCTCTTGGGGCTCAAGTTGTTCTTCTCCGCATGTTCCGTAGATCATGATTGTTATCGATCAGGAACCCAAAGTCGACCTCTAAACAGCTGGGCAATAGGTAAGCGACCGTTTCATGGTAGCCGCTAATGCAACGCGCCGTCGCATCAGCGTCCAGATCGAGTTGGTTAGCCATTTATCTGCAGCTGTCGCAGCCATTGAAAGGGGCTCACAGAAGCCTGGGGATTCTGGAAACCCAGAACGATACGCGATATAGACATCGCAGCGCTCATTCTTGGCAAATGTCTCACACTGGACTGATTCTCTGCGCATACCAGCGAAATTGTCCTCGGAATTGAATCACACGAGAGCGTGCACAGATAGTGGAAGTAAGGACAGTGCAGCTACTGATCAAGCCTCGACTTCTTGACCCAAGCAGCCGGTTTGAGGCTCGTTGATCTGCACGTAGTTAGGGCTGAATGGATTCAAACCGAGCATCGACCGCGCTATGGTTCAAGCGAGGTTTCAGATTTTGGCGGTCCAGCAAATTCTGACCGCTTGCCGCTGAAATCATCTATGGACAGGCTTGGAATACAAAGAATTATCTTGCTCGTTTCCAGTCGTATGGTTGACAGAAGGTAAAGGACATCATGTCACCTGTCATCCTAAGCCGCTGGCAGGCCGGGGCACGATTTTCCGAGACACCTTGGCGGATAGAGACACGGCCCCGAAGGACCAAATAAGCTTCTTACAAAAGTTGTCAGGGGTCCCCCATGGCAGCTTTCAATGCAAACCAGGAACAAACCGATCACCATTGGCTGGAAGGACTGCCAGAAGACTGGGGTAGCCAGTGCTCAATCGATGTCTGTGAGAGAAAGCCGATCTTTCCCGGTTTGCGGTAGATGAGCTCCACCTTCAACGCTTTTATCCATACGTATGGAGGCCTCGAGGACACCTCAAACATGCTCACTCGAGAGATAAGACGATGTTGGAGCTAGGCTATTTACACGCGATTCTGTGACAGCCTCCAAGGGTAGGGCGCTGCTTAGCTCCGCAGCCGCCGCGGATTCCGAGTACGGTAATCGGTGGGCCGAAGATGGGGTTGGCCGTCAAAATGCTTGCTCTCTACTTCAACTACTCCTTGGGTCATGTCGCATTCAGTTTATCTCTATTACGACCCTAGATGCGCGGGATTGTGTCCCATGAAGAATGGAAGCAGACAAGCAAGGTCTATAAACCCAGCTATCCATTCTGAAGTCAACCCGCCTTGGCACTGGGCCGAGGTTGCACTGCGTTTCTGGGGCTGGCTGCGACGCTTCAGTCGATCCATCTCGATTCGAGATATCGGGAATTCATGACCATATTGGCAAGCATCACGACACAGCCACATTCTCATACCCACAACACGTTTCGCGGTTGCTAGGTGGGGGCTGAGAGGTTTGCCGTCATACCCTACTGTGCGATACATCATGACCCTCCTTGAAGATTGTGCAACAGTGATGGCTTCCCGTGATTGTCATGTCTGTAGTCACATACGAATTCCAATTCCATGAATTGGTTCCAAGTTCACGTCAACCAATCGATAATTTAAGGAGATGACTCAAATCTTCGTTTTGTCCTAAACGGCTTTACCTGCTAACTTGACAAGCACCCTCGTCTGGTAGCAGACACTCGTCCCGGAGAACTTCCGCTGCTGTCGTCGATTACTCAATGGGCCAGAGACTCCATGTAAAACTTTGATCTGCAAAACAATACTATTAGCTTCATGGGGCGATCTGTTTGTTCATAAATCTTCATTGGTCACACCGCCGCCGTGCCCGCAAAGTCCTCCTTCAGTGTGATCTTTGGCTTTGCCTCGGGTGACATGGCATTGAAACCGTTTCATGTTTTGTTCGTGAATGCACCTGCAGATCTAGCAACATCAGGATTTGGCCCGGTTGAAGTATTTCAAGAACCGTAGGGAGAATACCTCTCTTGATGGAGCTATTTTGACGTTGAAGCTCTCGCGGCATATTCCGGGATGGCAGGTCAGGTTTCGACAAGGCATGTTCTAACTGCGAGTTCCAGACAAGTAATTTATCGGAAAGTCCGAGGATATTTTTAGCATTACCTGAATATCTCGTGACACGCCATCTGAATTTAAAATCGGTTGACTGCCAGACAGATGCAGGCTTTCATATGCTTCAAATGAAGATGGCGAATCTTTCCACTTGAGTCTCAATTGCCGATGGTCCTGCCATCGAAAATCATCGTCGGAGACCGGCATGTGGAAGACTGCATTAGTTTTGTTGGCACGATCCCTCCCGTGGTCCGAACTCAGGGCATCAGCATGACGTGGTCACTGATCTTCCCGTCTTCGGCATAGTTGACAATCCCGTTTCTTAACAATACGCAATCCCGTCGATCAATCGCATTCTCTCACAGCTGTCGTCAGCCACCAACTGAACTGGCTTGATACCCTGAAATGGCTTACATAGGGATTGCACGACAGCCCGATAGCCTATGAGAGCAATCCGAAATCATCATTCTGATTGGTACAGTTTTCGAAGAAGGTTCTAACCACTTCGGTCTTACGTGGCGGACGTCTGCAAAATCTGGAATTTGGCCAGGAAGGTGATGAACGGCTACTTTTATTTACTACAGTGTCAAATGCAATATCAATTTTACTAAAGTCGCAGTTGGCCTGCATTGAAGTTAGGTCCACGTGCACCTATCCCCTTGCTCAACGTACATAAATTATCACGCACGCATACTGTTGGCCTTCAGTTTAATACTGTTCTAGGAGACCTCTGAACTCAGAGACGAGAATCAATGAGCCTTTCATTTGCGAGAGTTACAAGAAGACAGGAACAACGGTAGTCGTTCCTTCATAGAAAGTTTTTGTGGCCAGTAAATTGCACGCCAGTGAAGAGGTGGTAGCTTAGCCTGTCGATGCCTGAACGAGACGGAGAGGCGCCAATGCAATAGTAGCTATCAGCCAGTAAACAGATCTCAGGCTTCTGTAAAATTGATAAAGTTTTCGATCTGTTGCGTCGATTGGTGTACCATGATATTGATCAGACCAGTATCACTGCGCAGCCCCCCAGCAGTGGCTTCACGTGGATATATTTGGTACATACATGGGATGAATCGATCCACAACGTCAATTCAACAAGACCCTGTATTCTAGATCGAACTCTAGACACCTACGCCGCTCCGTGCTCCGTCATCTAATTATCTCTAGAGAAGAGTTCCAACATGCATCTTGATGAGTTGAGACTAAGAAGCTGTTCATTCAAACCATACTTAATGAGGATGAACTGAGGAAGCACGCCCCGTCAAAGCCTTCACTGGGCAGTATTAGTCGACTTACCCTGCCTCTCATTATGTGTTGACTTATGAGTAGAGCTTTGCTAACCGAGGGAATATCTCTAATTGTCCGGGCGGGTAGTGGATATAGACGACAACAGGGACGACGACGACAATAGCGAGAACAACGACAATGATGAGAATAACAACAATAATAATAATAATAACAATAATAAGAATGACAACAATGATTAGAACAACAACAATGATAAGAACATTAAAAAATGACGAGAACAACGACACCAACGGGAAAAATGCGAACGACAATAGAGATAGTGAGAGGGTAAGGAATAAAGACGGTAGAGACAACGGGGACGACAGGGACGATGAGGACGACGGGGATAACAAAACTGTTAGAATAGAATAGACAATTAGACCTAATACGAGTACTTCTCCACTTGGCTACTTTGAAGTATCCGCCCGGACGACACAACTCTATAGGTGAATGTTTGACGGTAGGATGAGACTGCACCCTCGATTTCAGCTACCTCATATTGCTCTTCTGCTGGTCATCTAGTAAGGTACTCAAAATTCTAAGGATTCAACTCCTATAAAAGTCATCGGGATGGATCGCAAAATATAGTGGTAACTCAACTACAAGACCTCCAAGCGTGTTATTCTGAAACCTCCCAGGAGAGAGTAAAATCTTTGGCTAGACGCCGAGAGTTTGAGCACCCATTTCTACGGTTATTGCCATCGTTAACAACGACAGAGTGAACCAGACACAACAAGCAACTTCTGCATTCCTTTTTCGAGCGCAACTTCTTCCTCTCACTCTGGGATTCATGAGAGAAGGGGCAGGAGGACAAGTCCGGTGTGGAAGAGGGGTATCAACATTAGGTTGCGTCGATTGATTTTGCGTTTCTATGTACGTGCCTCTGAGTATGTTCAGTATCCTCGTCCCATATTTGTACAATTCAATTCTTTTTCTCCAGATTCATCCCACTCGGAACT